TGCTTCGTCTGTGTAAGAAGTCTCCCACGTTTTGGAATGTCAGCGCTCAGGTGGAAGTTCTTGCGAAAAGGTAATCGCTCGGAACCTCCCTGCGGTTTCCTCGCTCTAGCAATATATCGCCTTCACGCGTATTGTCATGTTGGAAAGAGGTTCTCGTGCGGTCGAGGCTGTTGTGATTGAAGTTCTGAATGTGCTGAGCGTGTTATCTTGTACGCTTGTTGTTGATGATTTTACTGTAGTATGTAGTATAGTCCCTTATACGGTTCTTTTTCTTTCCGGTCAAAAATAGGGGGAATTTGATGAACATGTGAGATTTTCGTAGCGACTATTACTTGGGATTCTCTCGGTGAATATTTTCTTTAGTTGCTCACAATGTCCTCTCTCTCTCTCTCTCTCTCTCTCTCTCTCTCTCTCTCTCAGAAAATTTCTATACAGCCATCTTGCACAGATTAAATACTTACTTCCTGAAGTCATACAGCTAGAGAAGCTCCTTATATACGATAAGAAAACTTCATGCATGAGGCCAGATATGAAAATCACAGTGCAACTTGATGCCATTGAGATTTGCCGTGAACAATCTGGCTTCGTGGCACTGCGGGAACTTTTCAAGTTGAGGCTTGTTGATTATTTCACTGACCATCCGGAGGTACTACTGTCCTTTTCTAGTAATTTTTGCTTAAGATCATCGTGAAAGGCATTTGAATAAGAAAAACCCTTGACAAATGGAATGAGGCAAGCTTTTAACAATTTGATAGTGGTTTTGCTCTATCGAATGGTTGGAAATGAGAAGTAAAGTTCCATATCGTCTGAACTGAAGTCCTTGCACAAACTATGCTGCAGTTATAGGTTTGACATTTTGAGAGAGTAAGAGAGCTTTAGCCCACAATGTAATTCAATCGGTTGACCTGATTATATATTCTTCCGACTCTACTAAGGAAAATGGGTTGACTTGATCAAATAAGTTGGTAGAATAAACAAAATACTTCCATTAGCTCCTTATTTGGGTCATTATTGCTCTGAAATAGAACTACAACTTCATTAGTCTTGTCTCATAAAATAGGATTATGCTCCTGCATCAGTATGTCAGGTTGAGTGTGCAGTATAGATTTGTCTGGCATTGACTTTCTTTATGTGCTCATTTAGCTTCTAGTTAAAAAAATTGGAGATTTGAACATTTGGTCATTCATCAGCTATTGTGTTGTATCCTCCTCCAGGCTTCGGTTGTTCCGGGGGCCATGTTACCTGGGCCTTTTAACCAAGGCAATCAGATCATCGCCGTCCAAGATACTCTTGGAGATTCTGCGTTCCAACGTCAGTCAACAGTTGCTGATGGTGTAATATTGTTGGAGGCATCTGGTTTACCCGAGTCTTTTAGCAGACACTTCTCTCAGAAGGTTGTTGTATCGGAGAAAACTCAACTTTTAGCATCACCGGTTACCCTTTCTTCTTCCTCATGCACCAATCCTACCAATCGGGAATTGCAAGGCAGACAAGAGGGACACTTAAATGGCGTATGCCCTGAACCTATCGGTGAGATTAACCACAATATCAGTATGGAGCTAGAGGAAGAAGCTTCTTCCAGTTGTTGTACGTCCACCTTCGTTGTTCCTAATGTTGAATCGCCTTATCCACACTCATCCGTTGACCCTATCACCAAGGAAAGTCCTGCAGTCAGGTTTTCCTCATCTTCTGGAACTTTAACGATTGACACACCGGCACAGATGACACCAAAGAGATCAATATCTGGTTGTGACAATATTAAATCAATGAGTAGCAAACAATGTCAGTCATGTCAGAAGCCTGCAAAAAGGTCTCTGGACTTCTCTTCTCCAAAAGGTGATAGAAGTTCCATGGATAGATCAGAGACCTGCAAGCATGTCCATGATTACAGCCCATGCTCTCTGAAACTTGTGGAAGAAAAGAATCTCTCAGGTTTTGCAGCGGTATTGCATCAGGTGTGTAACACTTTCATGGTTTGCTTCTTTTCAGTTCTTTGTAGACACAGCATCGGGGCCAAGTCTAATATCTGGCAAGGCTGCGGATTTGTGTCCTGTCTGTATACTTGCATTTATGACGTGGACTACATTTGACATTGATAAAACTGGATCAGCTTTTCCCTTTTCCCCTTTTCCCCAAATAGAAGTTGAAAATTTAGGACAAGCTGACATGATGCCCCTCAAAGCGCTGGTTTATAATAAGATAAAAAGCTGGTCAATGATGATGAAGCTTCGTGAGAATTGTTCGCTAAAATGCAGGATTGAAAAGAAGTTATGTTCCTTTTATTAGTTGAATCTTCGCGGAGCATTATGAGCATAAATAAATAAATAAATCTGTATGAAAAGAACTTAAACGTGAAATTAAATGGTAGTTATTATTTTAACAGAGAATTGCATTAGGAGTTTATTACATGAACAGGATCTATGGTGCTTTTGTAGACCATCCATTATTTGATTGGCGATAATTATGTGCTCATTTTGCATTTTTGCACACTTCTCTTAGAGACAATTCATGCTTGTACCACACTTTGCCTTGACCTATTATTGCCTTGACATTTACAGTCACAGGAGAATGAGAGAGGTCATCTTTCCAAGGCCGAAACTTCGACCAAAAGAAGTTTAAGAATGTGCGAGGACCTTTCTTACTTGAATCGAATTGCTGCCACTGTAAATTATGTTTTCCAGTCAGTTGGCTGCTCTTCAATCACTAGAGAAGAGCTTGTACACAAGATAATAATGAATAACTTTGAAGTTCTTGAGAGAAGTATGTAAATGCTCTTTAGCTCTGTAATTACTTTATATTAAACTTTAATTATTTTATATCAAACTTCAATTGTGATGATTATAATATCCTATCTGCAGAGGAGGTTGAAGAGCAGGTTGAGCTTCTTGGGAAATTGTTTCCTGATTGGTTCTGCCGAAGATCAACACATGGCGGAGATATTTTGTATAGGTAAAACCCTAATGCTTTCTTGTAATTACAGCACAAAATTATAATTTGCTCGTTCCGAATATACACAGTTTTGGGTTTAGATTTGGCGGAAGAAACACGAGAAAGTGGAATTTCAAAGTTATCAAGTTGTTTACGTGGATGACCCAACCTGACTTGTATTCTTTTTTTATGGAGTTGTGAGACTACATATAGAGAAAGCCTTTTTTAAGGTTCGGAATAGCATGGGATTGTTTGTGGAATCTCTTCAGTGTTGAAAATGAAGCTAGGACAGTATTTTCTGATAGATTTTTATCTCTGAATTTAGCTCATACTTTCAGACTTTCTACAAAGTATTTCCTTTTCATAAAGCTCTCTTCAGATTTCCTTGAGCTTAATCAAGCAATTCATATCAGAATTAAGAGTTCTTCTCCATGACTGCTTGAGGTTATTGCTGAGATTTATCTATCATTATTATAACTATAATTATTAAAACATCATCATCGTTTGCACATGCATCATCACAGAGACCTTTTTAACCTTTTTGTTGCTGTTACTGTATTCTCGCGAATCTACACTTACATCGTACTTCATGTCATTTCTCTTGCTGTGATGCTGTGGCCACATCATGAAACTCATCTTCCTTTTCGGTCACCTGCAGCATAAGGGAAGGGACAAGCCTGGAGTCAATTGCGTCGAGGCTCATCAGCAGTTGACAGTGTTGGGAAGCTACCGCAACTTACAGCAGGTATTTCATTTTGTTGCAAATTAGACTAGGAGGAGAAGGTGCCATGAAATGGTTCAGTTGACATTGCTTGCGTCTCGAATATATAGTCGAGGTTGTACTTTTTAACAGATGCAACAGATTCCCTGATTACTGCCTACTTTTTAACAGATGCAACAAATTCCCTAGTTACATGTACTCGGTCCAACTACATTCTCGATTCTTCTTCATTGCATCTATATGTTTTTTCATTACCACACTCCAATCATGTACACATTTCCTCATCATGCATTCTAGTATAAATAGTTTTTTATGCCAAAGTTTATGTTCGATCGGCTTTGAGTAAGTGGAAGACAAGTGACCACTATCAGCTACCATTCACATTTACTGGGTACCACCAGAATCCTTTATGGGGTTCAAAATTTTAAGCACTACCCAGAAGATGGTGTTTTTAATCTTGACTTTCTAGTTTGATTGGGGGTCGTGAATCTGTGATCCAGATCATTATTCACATAAAGACTACTGGCGATAAAACTTCTTCGTGTGACATTGATCCGATACAAGAACGAGTCCATTCGGTCTGTTGTCAACTCGAATACGCGTCCCGACATGCCAGCCGAAAGACGGCTCAAGATTGGATCATGAGACGCGAAATTGTCCAGCTTCGAGCATGCATTTTTCACGGCATTTGTCTCTTACCATGCTTATTTCGCGTACTCATGTTGATGTCCATAAGCTCTTGCCCCACCTGTCCGTACTTAAAGCCCGCGGAATCTGGAGCGCATGATGTAATAAACGGGGCGGTGTACCGTGTTCTCATCCGGCTCGATATGGCAAGTACCCACGTGAGGTTCAGTTTGGAGGATTTGTCATCTGTTTGACCGGAACACGTCCAAATCGGGAAAGGTCCATCGTATACGGCCAAGGACAGATCTCCTTATAGATGGATAAGGGACGTTGATCTTTTTGCAAATCATCTCGGACTTGTCCTTCCCTCCGTTGATTAGTCCGACCTTCAAGAACAGATCAACCCCGACTTTCAATCCATAGCCAAAATCGTCCTCTTATTACCTAAGTCCCCAACGTTATCATCCTTGTCAAGGGGTTATTAGTTACCAGTTTTCGATGTCGTAAACTTCATTCCTAGCGAGTTCTGAATTCCATGCATGTGTGAAAGTCAAACCACATGAATGCATCGTCACCCACCTCGCACCATCCGTGCTTTCATACCCTATCCCCATATATCTACAGTTCACGCCTACACATCTATATATATATATATATATATATATATATATATATATATATATATATATATATATATATATATATATATATATATATATATATATATATCGACTCACCAACGTTTCTCCACACAAATCAATCTCGTCACCACACCATGGACATGAAAACTCCACTTCTCACCCCACTCTCTCTCCTCCTCTTCTTCCTCCTCTCCTTCTCCCCCAAACCCTCCAATGCATCATCCCTGGTCCTCGACACTGATGGCCACGAGCTCCAGACCGGAGTTGGCTACTACGTCTTCCCGGTCATCCGCGGCCGAGGCGGCGGCCTCACGCTAGGCGCCTCAAGGAGCGGCACCTGCCCACTTGCGGTTGTCCAGGAACAGAACGAGGTCTCCAATGGCCTCCCCGTCAAGTTCTCCCCTGCAGATGCCAGCACTAGCGCCGTTCACCTCTCGACTGATCTCAATGTTTGGTTTGATGCGGCGACTATTTGCGTGCAGTCCACTGTGTGGAGGCTCGGCACCTACGACGAGACAGTGGAGCAGTACTTCATCGTGAGCGGCGGGGTTCTGGGGAACCCGGGACGCGACACCGTAAGCAACTGGTTCAAGATTGAGAAGATGGACGAGGATTACAAACTTGTGTTCTGTCCCACGGTGTGCGACACTTGCAGGGTGATATGCAGGGACGTCGGGGTTTATGTGGACGGTGGGACACGGCGTTTGGCCCTGAGCGACGAGCCGTTTAGGGTCATGTTCAAGAAGGCATGAGGCGCAGGTGTGACCGAAGTGCATGCAGATTACGCAAGGCATATTTTAGACAACACGCAAAGGGAAGGAATAATAAGTGCTAAATAAATAATTTTATGTAAATCTTATCTTTGTAATGGTATTTCAAATAAATTTCTAATAAGAAGCCCGTGAGCTGAATAAATTTCTAGATTATTGAGTCGTAGTATATTCTAATTAGAAATAAAATACACTGTATTGAAATCAATTTCGAAATTATGTTCGAGGGAGTGACACGTGTAAATTGATCAGATGCATTTTTATCATCCTTTCGACTGCTAATGAAAGAGACACGTCAAGTAATTTCCAGTCAGTTATCTCGTGCATACTTTACGCTTCCGCATGTTTTTAGAATACATGAGTAAATTTATCGAGTTAAAATGGATTTCTCTCTTTGTAACCGTAGATCCTAGCATGCTTATTCTTGCATAATTCCAGAAACAACATTAACTGCATCGCGTTCGATTTGAATCCATTTTGTCGAATGCCTTGATGGGCCCAATGTGTTTTCCTAGTGTTTTGCCAAATGGACCCTCAATGTGTGTGGCTGAGAGTAGATCGATTCTCAAACTCGTAAGATCTGAATCTCAAATTACCAAAGAGAAGCCACTTAGTAGCAAGCGATTTTCCAGTTGAGCTAGTGGGGCAAATGATACATATTTGCAAACGCGAATGACTAAATCGCGATATCTTTGTCCGATTCATAAATTTTTAGATATGTTTTTTAGACCAATTAAAATTTTAATCCGGATATATGGAGAATAACAGAGAAACGAGAGATAGAAAGAGAGAGCGAAGTCACAATATTAGTGATAGTAATATAAATAAATACACAGGTTTCTCTTATTTGTGATTTTTAAATTATGTTTTTGTCCTTAGATGTAATATATCTTACATAGAAATCAATGGTTTTTCAGAGGGAAATAGAAGCACTCACCTAACTAATGCGATGAACCTAAGCTATTAATATTTTCAAATGTTGAAATCACTAAAGAAAGTAAAACTTTGTTTATTCATTATCGCTTTGAAAACCATGTAAACCATGCAAACTGTGTGTAAATAAAGAGGAAGGCAGAATCACTAGGGTTTGCCCTAGTGGCCACCCTATTTACTTAGAAAGGGGGAGGTGGGGAGTTCGAATCCCTATCTTCTCAAGGGGGGCTAGGGGTGGGGACATGTAATTTCAGATGTGGATTTCGACTCCCACGTCCTGCAAAAAGTATGGTAAAAGTCTGAGAGTGAGTTGAGAGTTAGAGTAGGACGGACAAAAAAAAGAAAAAAAGAAAGGAGAGTGGAGAAGCAAATGAGAAATTGAACGAGTGAAACTCGTGGCACTTTTGTGGATGTACATATTTTGATGTTTCTTTCTTTTGCAAATTTTAAATTTATATACATTTTTTTCATATAATTAGGGAAAATTGCCCAAAAGAATGACTGCAAATTCAATCATAAATTTTACAATCTGGCCAATGCAATCCTAAACCTTTTGACGATTTTCCGATGTAATCCATTCGGCCAATTTAGATCGGAGCTAACATAGCAGTATAGTCAGCGCTTGTTATCCTATGTAACACTGCCGGCAGATAAGGCGTCTTATCTTAAATGAAACAACGTTGTTTTACATTTAAAAAAACTTAAAATTTCCATTTTTTTGCCGTTCCATTTCTTTCTCCTTCTTTTTTCCCTTGTTCTACTATTCATCTTCTTCACTGCTCGTTAGACCTGTCAAAATGGGTCATAAACTCATTTTTTAACCCATATATTAATAAATGGGTCATAAATGAGTTAGTTATATTTACTAAATGGATTATAAATGGGTATAAATATAATATGAATGTTAAATAGGTCGTAAATAGGTCATAAATGGATTTACAATTTATTTAAACTCAATTTATCTCTCTCACCATCATTCAATCTCACGCTCACTCGCTTTGCATTTTTATCTCAGTTTGGATTCGAGTTTTCCTGGATTGAGTTAAATATGTAAGTATTTTAACAATATAAGTCGGGTCGGGTATGGGTCATAAAATTTGCATTACATGGAAATCGGTCAAAACAGGGTTATTCGATCCGATCCAAACCTGACCTGCCCCACCCGTTTGACAGATCTACTGCTCATCGAGGCCTCAGTGATGGTTGGTGAACTAAGGCAAGTCCAACGAGGGCTTTGCAAGCCCTCCCCTTGGTCGCAACCCTCACGAGGGCAGATTTGGGCGAGGGTTCCCGGCCATCATCAATCGCGGCCCCGGCGACCCCGCCGGCCGGGTAAAACTCAAAATCCTGGCGGCTCCAGCAATGCCGCACGCACACCGGATAAAACTTATCGGGCCTGGTCGGCCCAAATCCGTTGCTGTCCATTAGCAAAAGGCGCGTCGCAACGGTCGAGAAATGTACCTGGCGGAAGTAGAAACGAGAGCGCGCGTAGCACGACAGCCTTAACAGAGTCTCCACGATCGTCGGGGCGAGGGCAGTTTCGTCCGATCACATCGGTTTTGAAGGACCTTCGTTATTTTTCCCTCTCTTGCACTTCCCCGACTTCAGTCTCTCTCTCTCTTTCTTCGCTCGGATCAGACAGACAGAACCCTAGGGTTTCTCCATCTCTCTCTCTCTCTCGCAATCGCGCAGGTCCTCTTCGCTTCGATCTTCCACGCATCCCGCGATTCGCGATCGTTTTTGCTTCCGATTGGCTCCGGTTTCTGTTGCGATCGCCGTTCGACGATGGATCAGGAGAAATGCGAGGTGAGCGGAATGGCGACGAGCTCGGAGGAATCCGCGTTGGCGTCGCGGACACCTCGGAAGGTCGGCGAGCCTCCGCGGAGCCGGACTGAAGTCGTAGATGAGTAAGGACCTGGACGATGCTTTTTGCTTGTTCTGTCGAGGATGCGTGCGCGCGCGCGCGCGCGTGTTTGTGTTGAGGATGATGATGATGATGACGTTTCTCGTAGCTTTAGGTACGAGACGATTGTGGAGCTCTTTGATCGCATGACCTGCTCGCTGAGGTTGCTTCGTCTGTGTAAGAAGTCTCCCACGTTTTGGAATGTCAGCGCTCAGGTGGAAGTTCTTGCGAAAAGGTAATCGCTGGGAACCTCCCTGCGGTTTCCTCGCTCTAGCAATATATCGCCTTCACGCGTATCGTCATGTTGGAAAGAGGTTCTCGTGCGGTCGAGGCTGTTGTGATTGAAGTTCTGAATGTGCTGAGCGTGTTATCTTGTCTGCTTGTTGTTGATGATTTTACTGTAGTATGTAGTATAGTCCCTTATACGGTTCTTTTTCTTTCCGGTCAAAAAGAGGGGGAATTTGATGAACATGTGAGATTTTCGTAGCAACTATTACTTGGGATTCTCTCGGTGAATATTTTCTTTAGTTGCTGACAATGTCCTCTCTCTCTCTCTCTCTCAGAAAATTTCTATACAGCCATCTTGCACAGATTAAATACTTACTTCCCGAAGTCATACAGCTAGAGAAGCTCCTTATATACGATAAGAAAACTTCATGCATGAGGCCAGATATGAAAATCACAGTGCAACTTGATGCCATTGAGATTTGCCGTGAACAATCTGGCTTCGTGGCACTGCGGGAACTTTTCAAGTTGAGGCTTGTTGATTATTTCACTGACCATCCGGAGGTACTACTGTCCTTTTCTAGTAATTTTTGCTTAAGATCATCGTGAAAGGCATTTGAATAAGAAAAACCCTTGACAAATGGAATGAAGCAAGCTTTTAACAATTTGATAGTGGTTTTGCTCTATCGAATGGTTGGAAATGAGAAGTAAAGTTCCATATCGTCTGAACTGAAGTCCTTGCACAAACTATGCTGCAGTTATGGGTTTGACATTTTGAGAGAGTAAGAGAGCTTTAGCCCACAATGTAAATCAATTGGTTAACCTGATTATATATTCTTCCGACTCTACTAAGGAAAATGGGTTGACTTGATCTGATAAGTTGGTAGAATAAACAAAATACTTCCATTAGCTCCTTATTTGAGTCATTGTTGCTCTGAAATAGAACTACAACTTCATTAGTCTTTTCTCATAAAATAGGATTATGCTCCTGCATCAGTATGTCAGGTTGAGTGTGCAGTATAGATTTGTCTGGCATTGACTTTCTTTATGTGCTCATTTAGCTTCTAGTTAAAAAAATTGGAGATTTGAACATTTGGTCATTCATCAGCTATTGTGTTGTATCCTCCTCCAGGCTTCGGTTGTTCCAGAGGCCATGTTACCTGGGCCTTTTAACCAAGGCAATCAGATCATTGCCGTCCAAGATACTCTTGGAGATTCTGCGTTCCAACGTCAGTCAACAGTTGCTGATGGTGTAATATTGCCGGAGGCATCTGGTTTACCCGAGTCTTTTAGCAGACACTTTTCTCAGAAGGTTGTTGTATCGGAGAAAACTCAACTTTTAGCATCACCAGTTACCCTTTCTTCTTCCTCATGCACCAATCCTACCAATCGGGAATTGCAAGGCAGACAAGAGGGACACTTAAGTGGCGTATGCCCTGAACCTATCGGTGAGATTAACCACAATATCAGTATGGAGCTAGAGGAAGAAGCTTCTTCCAGTTGTTGTACGTCCACCTTCATTGTTCCTAATGTTGAATCGCCTTATCCACACTCATCCGTTGACCCTATCACCAAGGAAAGTCCTGCAGTCAGATTTTCCTCATCTTCTGGAACTTTAAGGATTGACACACCCGCACAGATGACACCAAAGAGATCAATATCTGGTTGTGACAATATTAAATCAATGAGTAGCAAACAATGTCAGTCATGTCAGAAGCCTGCAAAAAGGTCTCTGGACTTCTCTTCTACAAAAGGTGATAGAAGTTCCATGGATAGATCAGAGACGTGCAAGCATGTCCATGATTACAGCCCATGCTCTCCGAAACTTGTGGAAGAAAAGAATCTCTCAGGTTTTGCAGCGGTATTGCATCAGGTGTGTAACACTTTCATGGTTTGCTTCTTTTCAGTTCTTTGTAGACACAGCATCGGGGCCAAGTCTAATATCTGGCAAGGCTGCAGATTTGTCTCCTGTCTGTATATTTGCATTCATGACGTGGACTACATTTGACATTGATACAACTGGATCAGCCTTTCCCTTTTCCCCTTTTCCCCAAATAGAAGTTGAAAATTTAGGACAAGCTGACATGATGCCCCTCAAAGCGCTGGTTTATAATAAGATAAAAAGCTGGTCAATGATGATGAAGTTTCGTGAGAATTGTTCGCTAAAATGCAGGATTGAAAAGAAGTTATCTTCCTTTTATTAGTTGAATCTTCGCGGAGCATTATGAGCATAAATAAATAAATAAATGTGTATCAAAAGAACTTAAACGTGAAATTAAATGGTAGTTATTATTTTAACAGAGAATTGCATTAGGAGTTTATTACTTGAACAAGATCTATGGTGCTTTTGTAGACCTTCCATTGTTTGATTGGCGATAATTATGTGCTCGTTTTGCATTTTTGCACACTTCTCTTGGAGACAATTCATGCTTGTACCACACTTTGCCTTGACCTATTATTGCCTTGACATTTACAGTCACAGGAGAATGAGAGAGGTCATCTTTCCAAGGCCGAAACTTCGACCAAAAGAAGTTTAAGAATGTGCCAGGACCTTTCTTGCTTGAATCGAATTGCTGCCACTGTAAATTATGTTTTCCAGTCAGTTGGCTGCTCTTCAATCACTAGAGAAGAGCTTGTACACAAGATAATAATGAATAACTTTGAAGTTCTTGAGAGAAGTATGTAAATGCTCTCTATAGCTCTGTAATTACTTTATATCAAACTTTAATTATTTTATATCAAACTTCAATTGTGATGATTATAATATCCTATCTGCAGAGGAGGTTGAAGAGCAGGTTGAGCTTCTTGGGAAATTGTTTCCTGATTGGTTCTGCCGAAGATCAACACATAGCGGAGATATTTTGTATAGGTAAAACCCTAATGCTTTCTTGTAATTACAGCACAAAATTATAATTTGCTCGTTCCGAATATACACAGTTTTGGGTTTAGATTTGGCGGAAGAAACACGAGAAAGTGGAATTTCAAAGTTATCAAGTTGTTTACGTGGATGACCCAACCTGACTTGTATTCTTTTTTTATGGAGTTGTGAGACTAGATATAGAGAAAGCCTTTTTTAAGGTTCGGAATAGCATGGGATTGTTTGTGGAATCTCTTTAGTGTTGAAAATGAAGCTAGGACAGTATTTTCTGATAGATTTTTATCTCTGAATTTAGCTCATACTTTCAGACTTTCTATGAAGTATTTCCTTTTCATAAAGCTCTGTTCAGATTTCCTTGAGCTTAATCAAGCAATTCATATCAGAATTAAGAGTTCTTCTCCATGACTGCTTGAGGTTATTGCTGAGATTTATCTATCATTATTATAACTATAATTATTAAAACATCATCATCGTTTGCACATGCATCGTCACAGAGACCTTTTTAACCTTTTTGTTGCTGTTACTGTATTCTCGCGAATCTACACTTACATCGTACTTCATGTCATTTCTCTTGCTGTGATGCTGTGGCCACATCATGAAACTCATCTTCCTTTTCGGTCACCTGCAGCATAAGGGAAGGGACAAGCCTGGAGTCAATTGCGTCGAGGCTCATCAACAGTTGACAGTGTTGGGAAGCTACCGCAACTTACAGCAGGTATTTCATTTGTTGCAAATTAGACTAGGAGGAGAAGGTGCCATGAAATGGTTCAGTTGACATTGCTTGCGTCTCGAATATATAGTCGAGGTTGTACTTTTTAACAGATGCAACAGATTCCCTAGTTACATGTACTCGGTCCATTTACATTCTCGATTCTTCTTCATTGCATCTATATGTTTTTTCATTACCACACTCCAATCATGTACACATTTCCTCATCATGCATTCTAGTATAAATAGTTTTTTACACCAAATTTTATGTTCGATCAGGTTTGAGTAAGTGGAAGACAAGTGACCACTATCAGCTACCATTCACATTTACTGGGTACCACCAGAATCCTTAATGGGGTTCAAAATTTTAAGCACTACCCAGAAGATGGTGTTTTTAATCTTGACTTTCTAGTCTGATTGGGGGTCGTGAATCTGTGATCCAGATCATTATTCACATAAAGCCTACGGGCGATAAAACTTCTTCGTGTGACATTGATCAGATACAAGAACGAGTCCATTCGGTCTGTTTTCAACTCGAATACGCGTCCCAACATGCCAGCCGAAAGACGGCTCAAGATTGGATCATGAGACGCGAAATTGTCCAGCTTCAAGCATGCATTTTTCACGGCATTTGTCTCTTACGATGCTTATTTCGCGTACTCATGTCTATGTCCATAAGCTCTTGCCCCACCTGTCCTTACTTAAAAGCCTGCGGAATCTGGAGTGCATGATGTAATAAACCGGGCGGTGTACCGTGTTCTCATCCGGCTCAGTATGGCAAGGACCCACGTGAGGTTGAGTTTGGAGGATTTGTCATCTGTTTGACCGGAACACGTCCAAATCGGGAAAGGTCCATCGTAAACGGCCAAGGACAGATATCCTTATAGATGGCATCGTATACGGCCAAGGACAGATCTCCTTCTAGATGGATAAGGGACGTTGATCTTTTTGCAAATCATCTCGGACTTGTCCTTCCCTCCGTTGATTAGTCCGACCTTCAAGAACAGATCAACCCCGACTTTCAATCCATAGCCAAAATCGTCCTCTTATTACTCAAGGGTCCGTTTGGTTCAACTTTGAAAATGCTACTTGGGGGAATATAAATACCTTTGGATGAAAACCCATATTACTTAAGGGTCCATTTGGTTCAATTTTGAAAATGCTACTTGGGGGAATGTAAATACCTTTGGGTGAAAGTCCATTGGGGAAATGCAAATGGTGTTTGGTAAAAATATTTTGTAAAGCTACTTTGGCCAAAATATAGTGTTTGGTGAATTATTTTTGCAAATGGATTTTGGAAATAAAAACCCTAACTTACCCTTCGCCGGAGCCGGCGCCGGCTGGCCACCGGCGAGCCATATCTGGCGCTGGCAACTGTCACCTGAGGTCGGGCGACCGTTGGCATGGGCCGGGCGTCGCCCGAGGCCGGTGACCCTCGACGGGGTCGCGGGACCGGCGGCCGCCGGACGCGGGACCTGACGGCCGCCCCGAGGTCGCGGACGACCAAGTGGCCGCCGCCTGGTCCCGTGACCCTTCGCGAGGGTCGCCCGGCCTCGGCGACGGCCGCCGCCTCTTGCCGATCCGTCCGTGCGTCCGGCGCCGGCCACCTCGCCGGCCACCTCACGAAGAAGAAGATGAACAATATACACGAGGGGCAAAACCGGAATAAGCCAAAATAACTAAGGGTAGTTTGGGAATAAAAAATTTGGGTTCAGCATTTGCCAAACGCTGAAAGCCGAAAGCTCGTCCGGACTAGCTTTTTGGGCTTTCAGCATTCCAATTGCTAGCATTTGGCAAATGCTGATCCAAACGGTTCAGCATTTTGGCCTTTCGAGGCTAAAAGCCCATTCCAAATGCTGAACCAAACGGGCCCTCGGTCCCCAACGTGATCATCCTTGTCAAGGGGTTATTAGTTACCAGTTTTCAATGTCGTTAACTTCATTCCTAGCGAGTTCTGAATTCCATGCATGTGTGAAAGTCAAACCACATCAATGCATCGTCACCCACCTCGCACCATCTATACTTCCATATCCTATCCCCATATATCTACAGTCCACGCCTACACATCTATATATATATCGACTCACCAACGTTTCTCCACACAAATCAATCTCGTCACCACACCATGGACATGAAAACTCCACTTCTCACCCCACTCTCTCTCCTCCTCTTCCTCCTCCTTTCCTTCTCCCCCAAACCCTCCAATGCATCATCCCCGGTCCTCGACACCGACGGCCACGAGCTCCAGACCGTAGTCGGCTACTACGTCCTCCCGGTCATCCGCGGCCGAGGCGGCGGCCTCACGCTAGGCGCCTCAAGGAGCGGCACCTGCCCGCTTGCGGTTGTCCAGGAACAGAACGAGGTCTCCGACGGCCTCCCTGTCAAGTTCTCCCCTTCAGATGCCAGCACTGGCGCCGTTCACCTCTCGACCGATCTCAATGTCTGGTTCGACGCGGCAACGATTTGCGTGCAGTCCACTGTGTGGAGGCTTGGCACCTACGACGAGACGGTGGAGCAGTACTTCATCGTGAGCGGCGGGGTCCTAGGGAACCCGGGACGTGACACCGTAAGCAACTGGTTCAAGATCGAGAAGATGGACGAGGACTACAAACTTGTGTTCTGTCCCACGGTGTGCGACACTTGCAGGGTGATATGCAGGGACGTCGGGGTTTATGTGGATGGCGGGACGCGGCGTTTGGCCCTGAGCGACGAGCCGTTTAGGGTCATGTTCAAGAAGGCATGAGGCGCGGGTGTGACCGAAGTGCATGCAGATTACGCAAGGCATATTTTAGGCAACACGCAAAGGGAAGGAATAATAAGTGCTAAATAAATAATTTTATGTAAATCTGATCTTTGTAATGGTATTTCAAATAAATTTCTAATAAGAAGCCCGTGAGCTGAATAAATTTCTAGATTATTGAGTCGTAGTATATTCTAATTAGAAATAAAATACACTGTGTTGAAATCAATTTCGAAATTATGTTCGAGGAAGTGACACGTGTAAATTGATCAGATACATTTTTATCATCCTTTCGGCTGCTAATGAAAGAGACATGTCAAGTAATTTTGCAGTCAGTTATCTCTTGCATACTTTACGCTTCCGCATGTTTTTAGAGTACATGAGTAAATTTATCGAGTTAAAATGGATTTCTCTCTTTGTAACCGTAGATCCTAGCATTGCTTATTCTTGCATAATTCCAGAAACAACATTAACTGCATCCCGTTCGATTTGAATATATCTTGCATACTTACAAAATAGTCGCATATATTCACCCATCTAGAAAGTGCTTGATGCTTATAACACAAAATTGGATGTTCTGCTGCAGAGCATTCTTCCCATGCCCTGCATCTGAAAACACATTACACTAGCACAGAGGAGTCCACTAATTTCACTAAGTTGACCAAGATCATCTCGTTGGCCTTCCTTTACATCCGATTAGCCACTGTCATGGCCTTCTCAAGATTCTTGAAGGCCTTCTCGTACCTCAAGAACCCCATGAACCAGAACTCGTAGTCATCTTCTGTGAGTATTTCTATGTACTTCTGCGCTGGATTGTTCACGTTCTCGCTCCGGTTCGCTCGCTTTATCTTCTCCGTCGGTATCAGAACCTGCAAAGATTACAACAATCGTCCATGTCATTCGTTGATTCATTTCGTACTTTATGTTCTTTAGAGTAGGTTTTGGAGCTTTGTTTTTCACTTTAGAAGAACTTCCCCACAGATTGCAGACTGAAAAGGTTTTCCCTATACATAAGCGCAACCCACTTTTCCATCACAGTTTTTTCAACCCCCGAAAAAGAGAAACTATCTGCTTTATTTGTGTCTTTGGAGTACCTTGTAAGGTGATCTAACTAGCTTCCCATTAGGGGAAGGGAAGGTGATGGATCTCTCACTGCAGAAGGCAATCTTCTTGGTGGAGATGAAGAGGAGGCCAGCAATTGGGCCAGCAGTGGTTGACAAGTAGCACTGTGAGGCCTTGAGGAACTCCTCTCCTTCCTCCATCCGAAACACCTGCTTGAATATGCTCTCTCTCCCTCCTCCTTGCACAATTTTTGCCCCCAATCTCAGCTTGCCCTTCACCGTCTCCGATAGCTTCGGCCCCAGTTTCACTGCAACATGTTAGCGTTCACTATGAAGGAAGGAAGATGTTTCGTTCTTTAAGGAAAGTGCACGAGTCTCATTGTACTGTGAATCTCAATATGTTCATGGTATGATACCGTGGTCGCGGACTCGGAAGGCGAAGCTGCTGCTCTTCCTGCCAAACTTTCTCTGGCGCCCCGGGTAGGTCTCCTCTTCATCTGTGCATGCCGAATTTTGCTAATTATGTAGGTTATCGAATTCAAAGATAAGCCTTCTCCTTTCCAGCATCATAATCAGATGAGAGTTCACATTAAACCCCGATTCACCACGAGATCTTAGCAACTGAGGGTTGCCAAGAACTCATCGTTCGGGTCAAAAGAGTGATTTCATTGGCATGGGACAATTCGTAGATAATAGACAACTTCACACGGCATATATCAACAGGACATCCTCAATATTCAGCAGAATTTTAAGCAAAAGAGAAGCAAGCCATGACCCATGCCTTGTGGAAATGCCTTGTAATTACCACAAGCGGTTCCAGAACAGCGAAGATTAGCATACCTCATGGATTAAAAGGGCAGTTGACATTAAATTAGCAGGCTACTCACTATGTCCTAACATAATTTCCGCTGATTCTAATACAGCTAAAGCCACCATATCTTTGTCTAGTGTCTGTGTAAAAGAGAGGGGATGCACAACAGTTGCATACCGATCTTGAAGGAGTTGAAGCCATCTGAAGAAGAGGGGCTCTGGATCACACTGGCCGGTTCAGACACAGAGAAGGGTCTCTCCGGAGTGCTCTCATATGACCTCATCATCAATGGACTCCCAATGATTTGTTCCTTCATCTCTTCTTGCTCTCTCTCTCTCTCTCTCTCTCCCCTCTCTCTCCCCACAAAAGCAGCCTCCTTTTCTTTCCTCGTTATTCTTGTCCCTCTGCAAGGGAAAGTGCAAGTCATGGAATATATAAAAGCCGCTGAGGGATTCTGTTAACTCCACGTCACTCTCATTCAACCTAAACAAAAAGATCAAAAAAAAAAATTTCTACATCGCGGGTACCCGAACCTTTCGGTTTTTCACCGATCCTGATGCACGCAAATTGGGCCGTCCACGTGAATCGGGTAAATCCTCTACACACAGGGTGGCAAGTCCGACTCCCGATCTTTCAACGTCGCTTAATCAAGAGCTTAACCACTCGGTCAACAGGGCTTTAAAAAGTTGTAAGATGAACGACACACCTCATCAGAAGACCATTGGTCGGCTCAGGAGGTTTTTCCAACTTCTTGTGGCCTTCTCTGCACCCTCATCTCAAGATTCTGAATTTTTTAGTGACGGATAGAAGCATCTGTCGTGCAGGGCCTCGCTTTCCCAGCAGTTTCTCGTGCTTGAAAAGTGAGCCCCGCTTCCCCTATTCCACGAACAGGTTCCCGGGTCAACATTAGTGGGCAGATTAAAATCAGTTCTTGTTGACTAGTTTGCCAGCTGCGACCGGAAAAGATCGAATAGAGATATTCAAACTTGCTTTGGGGTCAGTGGAATTTAGTGGTGGGTTTCATGGAGAGGAAAAAAACAAGGGAAGGTGAAGAAATTTCAGGACTTGATGAGTGATCACGTCATTGTTTACGCGCTCAAGCTTTGAACCGAGGAGGAGGGACTTGCGAAATCTGACTTTGACCGAGTGACACGGACCAATGTGCACTAAGAATTTCTGGGAAAAGTACTAGGAAAAGTCTTAAACCTATTATATTGGTATCAATTCAGTTTTAAATCTTTCAATTGAATCAATTTATGGTCCTAAACCTTTTTCATATTGGTACTAATTCAATCCAACCGAGGAATTTAGGCCGGAAATTGCCGACGTGGAGGTTGACCGTCTTATGTGGCATGGCTGGCGGACGACCAATCCTGACGTGGACCTTTCAAAATAATTTTTTAATATTTTATTGAATTTTTTTAATAATTTTTAAAAATTTTCCCTTTTTTCCCTTCTCTTTCCTTGACCGCCCACAAGCGAGGGCCGGTGAGGGCATCGCGGCCTGGGCGATGGCTGCGACACCCTCACCGGCCACATGCCAAGGGATGGAGAAAGAAAAACAGAGAAAGGAAAAAGGAAAAAAAATTTAAAAAATCCAAAAATTATTAAAAATATCTACGTCAGTGCCGGCGTAAGACGGTTGGCATCTACGTTAGTAATTTCTGGCTTAAATTGGCCAGATGGATTGAATTGGTACAAATGTGAAAATATTCAGGACTAAATTAGTCCAATTAAAATATTTAGGACTGAATTGGTACCAATACAATAAGTTTAGTACTTTTTTTATACTTTTTCTTGATTTTCTTACTAAACTTTGTAGGGACTGTTGATATAACTGCAAGTGAGAACTTGAATTTAGTTCACATGACTCAAAACAGACTTAAGGTGACTCTTGCAAGGAGTGAGTTGCACTTGCAACGACTCTAAAATCGCTTGGATTTGCATGTGATTTTCGCAAATTAATCGCCAGATTGCCCATTTAGCGGTACCGTCGAGATTGTATAAGAATTTCGCAAAGACATCGAGAATTTCATTAGGAAAAAACATTACTGTGTTTAGTGATTCTCTGACATTTTATCCCTTGGAAATTGCTTTGTCTTTGGGAAAATTACCCAATCGGTCCTAATAAATTATACGTATGTTAGTTCAGTTTCAAACTTTTCAATTTGCCAATTTAATCTTAAATTTTTGCGCAAAATTTCATTATAGTCATTATGGCAAAAATTAACCGGAAGGACTCGCCGGCCATAGGTGAGAGCGTCGGGCCCTAGCCTAGTCTGGACACCCTTGCCCCTCGCTTGTGGCCAACGAGGGCATCGGCTTTGTTGCGGCCCTCGCCCTCGCCAGACGTAGGCGAGGGCTGCGACGCCTTGCAAGCCACAGGCAAAGGCCACCCCTCGCCGGCCAAAGGTGTATGAAAAAACAAAACAAAACAAAACAAAACGGAGGAACAAGAAAAGCAAACATTGATAAAAAAAATTCGAAAAATATTAAAATATTATTAACGAATGTCCACATTAGCATTGTATTTGTGCGCCACATGGGAGGACCAGCGACCACTTCATCAATTTCCGGCCAAAATTGACTGCATGGTCTCAATTGACAAAACGTGAAAATATTTAGGACTCAATTGATAAAATTTAAAAAGTTTAGGGCATAATCGGTAAAAGTTGAATAGATTCAGGACTTTACGAGCAATTTTCCTGAGAATAGACCGATCCAATGGGCCGTCAGCCCACGATCAGCCACGCAAGAGCGGTATAAACGATCCCGAGACCGACCTCCACAGCTTCTTCTCCGAAAGAGATTTGAGGAAATCTCCGCGACCTCTCTCCCCGCTCGCGCCGGCGAAAAAACCCTAAGGGTAGAGAATCCATGGACCCTCAGCCTGAACCAGTCAGCTACATCTGCGGAGGCAAGTCGTCTCCTTCTTGTGCTTCTTCTTGAACAATCTCTCTTTCGATGCTACGGTGTGGGGTCTCCAGGTTTCTAGCTCGGCGATTCTGGTGCCTTTGTTGGGTTTTTGTGATATGGTACTGAGTTGGCGGCGGTTGCTAATGGTGGTTGCTAATGGCGGTTGCTAATGGCGTGCAGATTGCGGGATGGAGAACACGCTGAAGCCCGGGGACGTCATCCAGTGCAGGGAGTGCGGCTACCGCATCCTCTACAAGAAGCGAACCCGCCGAAGTAAGCTCGACGTCGCCCTCCCCTCAGCTTGCTCGACCCTGCTCTCTTTCATTTTTATTTCTTTTTGGTTCGCGCCCTGTTCGGCACTTTTGTGTTTTGTTTATGGTGTTGTGCTTATCTGCGTGGCTCTGCGAATCGCGATCGGTCGGACCGAGGGAGCAATTGCCTTTTGGGATAGATAAGTCTTGGTTGATGACTTGTACTGCTAGTTTGGGATGTAGTGTGGACTGGGTTCCTTGTGTTGTCCATCGAACTGAATTGGCTTTAAGTTCGATTGGTGCCGACGCGGCTTGGGGTGGCCTTCTTGTGTTGGTGCGCGCGGGGTTTTGCTGTCGATATTTTGGGTCCTGAACGAGTTGAGCTTGGCAGGTCGTAGCCATCATGGAAAGGGAATTGACCTAGCCGGTTTTGCAAGGTCCCATAGCAAAGTTTCCATGAATGAAATTATCTACATTTTGCTATTATGAGGACCTTTTTGTTGAATGGGCTCGACTAAGTTCTCTAGTACCAGTACACAGAGAATCATATTCTGTGTTAAGAGTCAGGTTAGGAAGCTACTAGTATCTTTAGATCATCAGCTTTTTGTCGGGATCCTAGTGGTTTTCAATATAGCATGTACACAAATTCAATTTGCTTTAGTTTTGTGTATTGAGCTCTCTATTTTGAATAAGTCATCTACGGACTAAGTAGCTTCGTTTCTCTATCTTGTTATGGTAGATTTACCTCATTAAATGAGGAGTTTATTTGGAAGGTTTCTCAATCATGGTTATCTAGGGATATCTTGCAAAGCCTCACTGGACAATGGGATATTGCCACATATGCAAGAAGGATCTTTGATTTCATAATAAAGTTAAAACACGTCCAGAATCTTTTTTGAAATTCTTTTGTTACGCTCCATGAGTTTATTTCTGCTTGAATTTGGGAAGAATGAAAGGTGATTGCTTTTCGTTTTGCCGGTTGGAGAAATTACTATCTGGTTTGTATAGGTTGTACCGCTTAGGATCTTTTCTAACGAAAGAGGGCCAACCGCTATTCATGATTATGAGTCTGCAGTGAAGGTCCATGCCCTTAAAGCTATTGGAACCTGGACTCCATAGAATTGGTGACTTATGGGCACCTGTGTTTAATCGTAATAAGACTCATAACCCTCTATTGCAGAGTCTTTTGCGGTGTTGACACAGTGATTTTGGTACTTAGATCCATGGTCTTATCTATATTCAAGATCGTAAGGTGCACAACTATCAGATCCAGACAAGTTCAGTTTGAAGTTTTCTAAACTGAATTGGACTTAGGGACATTTTTCTTGTAGTTGATGAGGTTTTATGGAAGGATACACACTTTACCTTTAAATATTCTGCAACTTCCATGGACCCATGCATGTGATATGATTTTTACGGGGCTGAGTCTTCTCTCTCTAGTCTCTTAAATATACTCTAGCTCTTCTTTCATGTTCTTGAACTTGAGTTTCTCTGTGCTTTCTACTTCTTTCGTGGAACAGACAATTGCTTACCTCTTTTGATTTGTGATTCTTGCAGTCATTCAGTATGAGGCCCGCTGAAAGAACTTGAGGATTCGAGCTTTAATTGCCGTACAGACTTCTTTGTCATTGTGACTGGGGCACGCTGTATGTCTTTGGAAGGTAGTCATTAAAAAAAAAAAACAGAGAGGTAACTGCTATGCAGTAAGCATGTGTGAGTGCCAACTTGTCAAAGTGTGGATAATGTGGATATATTTTTGGAGTCCCTATTAAATGTGTACTGTGACACCGGTATGTTCTAATTTTTTTCTCTGGTGGGAGCAGATTTGTCTGTCGATTAACTCGTCTTCATATAACCCGGTGTCGGAAGTTCGCATGACAAAATTGATGCAATCAGATCAGCGTTGAAATATCACATTGGTTTGCGCTAAATCTTTTGCTGTAGTTGCGGCTGAGGGGGATTAAGAATATTAGCGTGTTGTTTCAGAATGCATTTGAATGGTAAATCACTAAACGATTTGTGCAAATGTCTAGGTGAGTACCTCTGCTTTCCAAGATGCTTGACAGTTTTGAACATGAAAATCTGTGAGGGCTCAACTTCTTTCTTCTGTTGGCTTGGGTTAGATTTGCGTGAGTCGAAAATGAGTCGTACAAATTGACCCATTTTGCCCCTATCCTTTTTTGTATAATATAGTTTTGGGAACTCATACTTGACTATACTCGGACCCAACCCGTACCCATCCCGACCTGATGTCTGTTAATTTTTCTTCCTAACAACAATTTAAAACCCAAAAAAGCCTAAATGTTCTTGGAACCACAAGGTGGCTAAAGAGCCACCATATGGCTAAAAATTTGCATACATGGCAAATAGAAATCTTTAGCATCATCGAATGAAGAAAAAGAACTAGTGTTGAGTGCATCAGTGAGAGAGGAGCATGATTCGATATGAACACTTGCGTCGTCGAGGGCAACGACAATTGAAGAGAGAAGGGCACGAATGCTTTGACTTGCTGCAGAAACTGGACATTGCTCCGGCGACTCCAAATGTGAAATCAAGCTACCTACAAGCGAGACCGGCAAAAACAGGAGAGGAGAGGAGAGAAGAGCACAGATTTTGGTTTTATTTTCTTCCGAGTTTCTTCTAAGTTAAGCCTCCACATCATCCGTTTTTGTCTTAGAAGGCCAAACGAGTTAAAATAGGAGTCATTCAAGCAACCCATCATGACCAGTTTTACCGGGCCTTGTTTTTTCGTTAATTCATTTTGCCTTACTTTATTGCCAAACAAGTCAAACACGAGTCGCAATCGGGGCTCTAGCTCTAGCTAAAAATCAGACACGCGCAACTTCAATCACCAGTCACGATGCTCAGCCCTCTTGAAACAAGGACTAGTCTTTCCATTCCATCGAATCCGGCCTTAATCGTGGTCTGAACAATTCAAGTTCCTCGTTTCGCTAAGATCCAATTTCACAGCGAGCTCAGCGAATGTGAATCCCTTGACTTCTCGTTCCCATCCACGTCGTTCCCCATCATCAGGCTCTTGAGCCTTGATCAAGAAAGCGATACGACGGGGACACACTCTGTTTCGTGCGTCGATGTGTTCTCCTCTTTGCCGAGATGGAGACGGGGCGGAAGAATCATTCTACGCTCTGAATCTTCCCACTTCCGATGAAGGAGGAGGGCATTGAAGATTCACGAGATGGAGACAGGGCAGAAGAATCAAACGGTCTCCAAAGTCCGAGCAGCGTGCTGAGCCATTCGGAGCCGAACTAGATTGCGACTCGGGTTCGGAATGTCCGAAAACATCCAGCTGCTTGAAAATCACCTCTTCTTTGAAAATACCAGTCAGTCATTTGTCTTCTGCTGGCTAAGTAACTGCGGACGACGTGATGTTTTGATTAAAGGGAAAAAACTATCAAAAATCTCAAATTATGTTTGCTATAATATATTAAATCATAAACTTTTTTGGTGACACAAAAAATCTCAAATTTATATCAATGACGCATTTACTCTCTATCAAAATTCCGTCCAAAATCTTCATTAAGCCATATTGATTACCCTATAATCCCCACTATAATACATGGCGATGCAGCTAATTACCAAAGGCATGATAGCACCGTAAGTTACATCAATCACAAAACAAACACAAAATGACAGGCCAAATTTTTAACACACCCGATTCATTCCCCAGAATTACATTAGATACTAAAAACGCCCACGCGGTAACTATGTGGTTCGACGATCTTGAGCTGTTCGCATCGACGAATTTGATCGACTTAAAAGAGCCTAGGCAATCTATTGACATAGTTGTGATGACAAGCTTCAATGCCTCTCCCAATGTTGTTTCGGGTCGGGGCATTCGATCGATGTGCTCCAAAGGGATAGTTGTTTTTGCGGTGTGACCGAATCTAACCTCTTTCGACCAAAAAAAAAAGAAGAAAAAGTAATCTAATCTCTCGATAGGGCGTTTCTAGAGAGATTACTTGCTTGGGAGAACCAATCATGTGGATCGACGATCTCGAGCCGTCCCCATCGACAAATTTGATCGACCAACCCCCCATGTCGTTCGGGCCGGGCATTCGATCGATGTGCTTGAAGGGATCGTCGTCTCTCGCGGTGCAAACCGAATTTGAATCTAACGAGCGCCAAATTCGAAATGAAACCCGTGATTTTTCGAGCTATCAAACTAATCGATGTCCTTGGGATGTTGAGCCAATTATCACTGATTGTATTGGCCTCTTGGCTTTTTTTGAGAGTCTAGAATTGATCATTTACACCCGTGACTCAAATAGATGAGCAGACTGGGTTGTAAAAGCGTCAAGGTGTAAGATCCTCCCTCGAAACTGGATTTGTAATCCCCCTTCCCCTCTTTAGGAAAATCTGTGTTTTGATGCCCCTTAATCCTGTAGGTGGGCCCGGGTTTAATGAAATGATATCTCCATTTCGAAAAAAAAAAAACTAATCGAATCTCTCAATGGAGCACAGCAGCTAGAGAGATTACCCCGCTGCGGGAAACCCACCGTTGGCGATTGGTCTAAGGAACGGAACGGCGGGGGATCGGAAACTCACGAAGACACCGGCGAAAAAACACTTCCGGATGGGCCATGGAACTTCACGCCGGCCATCCCACGACGGAGGGAGCCGGCGGAGGGGTCAACCTCGTCTGCTGGCCAATCGTCCTCACCGCCGCACCAGCAAGAAACGCCATCAAGATCCGTCCTTTTCCCGACATCATCCGTCGTTTCCGCCCGTCTCGACCTCATCGAAGTACGGCAAGCGACGAGGCGGGCGTCGCTGTCACGGTGTGAACGCGCCAGGAGTAGGAACGGTGGACCAACCGAAGTCGAGCGAGCTTGACCCGTAGCTAGCTCGCTCCTTTAAATTCGCCGCCTCGTCTCGCATTGTCGCCGTGACGGGCAGGGGGGAGGGATCGATAGCCTTAGAGGCGCAGGCGGAGGAGGGATGGGTCTCGCCAAAGACGAGCTGGAGATGGCGGAGCCAAGCGATCGCTCGACGGACGGCGGGAATCGGGGGAGGGACGATCCGGATTCCGCGGCGAAGGAGGAGGAGGAGAAGAGGAGCGGGGAGGACGTGGGCGGCGGCGGCGGCAATCCGTCAGTGGAGAGGATCTTCGAGGGGCTGGAGGTGCCGCCGTGGAGGAGGCAGCTGACGGGGAGGGCGTTCGTGGTGAGCTTCGCGGTGAGTGTCATGTTCGCCTTCATCGTCATGAAGCTGAACCTCACGGTGGGCATCATCCCGTCGCTGAACGTCTCCGCGGGCCTCCTCGGGTTCTTCTTCATCAAGACGTGGACGAAGGTCCTGAACAGGTCCGGGCTGCTCCAGGCCGTCCCCTTCACGCGGCAGGAGAACACGGTGATCCAGACCTGCGTGGTGGCGTCTTCCGGCATCGCTTTCAGCGGTACGTTCCCCTCGTCTTTCGCTCTCTGGCTGCAATTCGAATGGTGCGAACTGTGGAGTGGAAGTGCTCTGTTTTAGCAAAGCTTTGTCTGCTGACATGCTCTGTCCCTTTCGTGAAGATTTCAATTGCTATAATGATGATGGGTGTTTCTTTTTAACGGTTAAATTAGACAGATTGCATTGATGCACTCTTTTGTGATCGAAATTAAGCGTACATGATTTCACCCTCCAAACTTTTTTGCTTCTCATAAGTTGAATAGCCCAAAGTTATCACTGTAGCCACAACCAGAACAAGCGCCATCTTCTACTTGAACCTCTGCTGAATTGAGGAAGGAATCCTGGGTTTCTGATGGAATCAACAATGCATAACAACGCCAAATTTCTGATGTCATGTTTCATTTTTTGCTTTTTTCTTGAGCTGGTTCTACTTCATTGACTGTTGGGTGGAGAATCAATTAGGATTCGTATATGGGTATGGAATTTTCAAAGCTTTCCTCCTTAGCATCTTTTGTAATGAATAAAAAGTCTACGAGTCAGCAGTCAAGGTTCCCTCAAGCTGTGGTATCCTTTTTATCTAGTTTGGGGTCCACCACGAATGGTGCTCAAGCCGAACTGCTCCTTGGTCCACAATTTAGGCTCTTTGAAAGCGGCACGGTCCTTGCATCCCAGCATGCATATCAAGGTCAACTATAGGCACCGATATTTTGAGCCAGAAAATTTGGAAGAACTCATAATTAGATGGCGAAAAGAGAATTTCAATGCTACTCCACCAGTTTTTTTCTTTGTCATAATTCGGGAACTTCTGTCTAATGGGAGCGCTGTTATTTTACTGAGGGGAAATTTATGGAGGTGTAAGGGTTCCAGGAACGCCATATGTTTTTAGTCAAAAGGAAGGATTGGCTTTTTCTTGACCATGCCAAACCAATCTCTATCTACATCGGGTCTTATCTTTGTCCATCTCTTTCCTTGGACATGTAGATGCCATTAACTGACTTTAACACGAAGAGGCGGGATTGTTTTATTTGATATCTTTTTATCTCTTCTCTAGCTGGAGAAAGAAAAGAAACTGATTGAATAAAATGACAACAGAACCATGAGATGGTTATAAGACGCTTTGTCTGATAATGCTTATATTTTGTTATTGCTGTTTCATACGATTTTCGGAATAAGTTACATAAAACAAACTGAACATGGACAATTTGCGCTCAAGACATCAAGAAACTTAAATGAGACAGACCTAAAAGTTTGCTCATTGATTTAAGAGTCTCTTTTCATCTATATGACCTCCTTTGCACGGAAACACCCGTTACTCAGAAATATTTTAATTTCATGGACTCTATATGAACTGTACTGCATATACACAGATGACATGTATGATGGTTGTTTCTATACAAGCAACGTGATGTAGGGTACTTGGCCGTAACCATATTGAACAGTCAGCACACTAATTTCATGTGCATATTTGAGGTCACGTGTTTCTTGGAACATATTCTGTGATAATCAATGCCAATGAGCTCAAGGGGTATGCAGAGATAACATTCATGTATTCTTTTGAAGTAATTATTCAGATGTATGGATGCAACTATGCAAAAATGAAGGAACCTGTCCTAAGTTTGAGTGCATTGCTCATTGCTCATTTGCTAACCATCTCCAAATAAAATCAGTTGCAGATAGCGAGTTTACCTATTTTCACCACTGCTTCTATTTCTTTTGGGCCAGACCACTGCTTGTTCAATTCAATTCGTTTTCCCAGTTTATTGTCGTGTGTCTAGTGTCGTTTCAGTTACATGCTTGAAAAGTATTTCAACTGGAAGAGAAAGAAAAATATTTTGACTGGAAACTACTATGAACCTCTGCTTCTCTCAACAAAACAGATAGAAAGGCTCTTGCTTCTGTTTCATATGGAATATTTATTCAACTACAGTGGTCTGTCTTTAGTCATTGACCTCAACTTATCACGTGTTAAAAATAACCGGTGACTTCCTATCCAATAATAATCTCCTTGTATTTGATTAAACTTCTATTGGAAGAAAGTAATTGTAAGAGATGTAACCTTGCGTATCATTTTTGGATGAATAGCTAGAGCTATTTACAGTGTGGTGCTCTGTGATTTTCTACGAGCAGGAGGTTTCGGGAGTTATCTCTTTGCAATGAATGAGCGAGTTGCTAATCAATCAACGGATAAGCAGGGCGCTCTTGATTTCAAGAACCCATCACTGCCGTGGATGATTGGTTTCCTATTTGTTGTCAGTTTCCTTGGCCTCTTCGCCGTGGTTCCTCTCCGAAAGGTACTCTTTGCATGTTGCATTTTTTTTTTCCCTGTAGCACTTGCCCTTGAAAATGTGGTTAGTGATTGCCAATTAATCTCCACAGTACACTTCACTTGAAAAAATTCTCTTTGGCCATGAGGAATCAAACTGTGGGGGTGCTTGCATGTACTGTTATGAGTACTTCACTCACGCTTGCCCTTCTCTGGTTTCAGATTATGATTATTGACTTCAAATTAACGTATCCTAGCGGCACGGCAACTGCTTATCTTATAAATAGTTTCCACACACCGGAAGGAGCCAAGCTAGCTAAGTAAGACACTATAAGCTGGAAAGCCTTCTCATTAGTGTGTCAATATGTTGGCTCTCATCGGCTTTAATTTTTCTCCTGAAGGAAACAAGTCAAAGCATTGGGAAAGTTCTTTTCCTTCAGCTTCTTGTGGGGCTTTTTCCAATGGTTCTACACAGCTGGAGATAATTGTGGTTTTACAGAGTTCCCCACTTTGGGGCTTAAGGCTTTGCAATACAGGTGTATAAGCTTAACAAACTTCCACTTTACAGTCTACAACTACTTTGTGTTGGAAGCTGGCCTTTACTTCGATGTCATGCACTCTAATATGCAAAACTATTAGCTGACTCTCTTACATGGAAAATGTGAAGGTTTTACTTTGATTTCTCCGCGACATATGTTGGAGTTGGGATGATTTGCCCATACATCATAAATATCTCAGTCCTACTCGGAGGAATTCTATCCTGGGGTTTGATGTGGCCTCTAATAGAAACCAGAAAGGGAAATTGGTATCCTGCAGAGGAAAGCCCAACCAGCATGCATGGCCTTCAAGGTTATAAGGCAAGTCGAGATATACATGCAAATGTGCAAGTTTGTTTATGTGTTCTGTTTATCCTTTAATCTTACAATACCAATTTGTCAGGTTTTCATTGCCGTTGCCATGATATTGGGTGATGGGCTCTACAACTTCCTCAAGGTGCTTAGCCGAACGCTCTCTGGCTTGTACCATCAGCTCCGAGACAGACAAACGAGGAATGTTCTCCCCATTGCAAATGATTCCTCTCCTGAGAACCCTCAAGTGTCTTATGATGACCAACGAAGGACACAGCTTTTCCTAAAAGATCAAATCCCGACATGGTTTGCAATTGCAGGCTACGTCACAATAGCAGCCATATCCACAGCTACTCTTCCGCACATGTTCCACCAACTCAAATGGTATTACATTTTAGTCATTTATCTCTTCGCTCCAATCTTGGGTTTCTGCAATGCCTATGGCTGTGGGCTCACTGACTGGTCCCTTGCCTCGAACTATGGGAAGCTGGCCATCTTCGTGATTGGGGCATGGGCTGGTTCCTCACACGGTGGAATTCTTGCTGGTTTAGCTGCCTGTGGAGTCATGATGAATATTGTGTCTACAGCCTCAGACCTGACTCAGGACTTCAAAACGGGCTATCTGACCCTGGCTTCACCACGGTCCATGTTTGTGAGTCAAGTGATTGGTACCGCCATGGGCTGCATTATTTCTCCATGCGTCTTTTGGCTTTTCTACAAGGCATTTAAGGATCTTGGACTCCCGGGAAGTGAATATCCTGTCCCCTTTGGAATTATTTATCGGAGCATGGCCGAACTAGGGGTGGAAGGCTTCTCTTCCTTGCCCAGACACTGCCTCACACTCTGCTACGGGTTTTTCGCGGCCGCCATGATCATAAATGGGTTCAGGGACTCGGTTGGTAAGAAGTGGGCCCGTTTCATCCCGCTGCCGATGGCTATGGCAATACCCTTCTACATAGGGCCATACTTTGCCATCGATATGTGTGTCGGTAGCTTAATCCTGTTCATCTGGGAGAAAACCAACAAAGCCAAGGCCGACGCGTTTGGGCCGGCGGTAGCTTCAGGTCTGATCTGTGGAGATGGCATATGGACATTGCCTAGCTCAATACTCGCTTTGGTGGGGGTTCATCCGCCGATTTGCATGAAGTTCCTGTCGAGAGCCATGAACAGTAGAGTCGACGCCTTCCTGGGATCTTAGTCCTGCAGTTTAAACTCACGAAGACGGCGTGAAATCTCAAGCGCGTCGGAAGTCTCTGGATGGACGTCGTGATCTGCTCTATCTTCCGTTTTTTCTTGCAATCGTCTCCTAAAATCCCAGTGAAGCAGTCGTAGCAACTGGTAGCTGTGAAATTACTCTATATGTAACCCCAACTGGGTGGAGAAAAAAGTGTCTTGTGGCAATAAACGTATATGGTATTATTGTCTTTTGTGCTTCTCTTCATGCCTCCTAGAATCCCCATTTCTGGCAGTAGCCCATTATGTTTTCACGTACAACCATCGACAATATGGAACTCTAGGGAAGATTGAACTGCGCTAAGGCTAACCCCGTAAATATGAAACATAGACATTATATGGTTTATAATTTATCGCATCATATGTCAATTTGGTAAATCGATCCTAATATATGCAGCATCGCTCGTACATGGCCCATTGGGCCAGAGAAACAAACCCCGTTGCCTAATAATAAAATAAGTTCACCATTTTTCTCCTTTTCATTTTGATTGTGACTCCACTCCCTCAAAGTTATGCTCCATTTATCTATCTAAGTAGCACTGACACGCGACACGACACGACACGACACGAAACGCCGATACGTCATTTTTCAAAAAATAGAGAAATCCGACATGTTGGGACACGTTGTATATTTAATGTATATTTTTATATAGGGAAAAAACCACCAAAAATCCCAAACTTTTTCACTTGTGACACATTTACCCCGAACTTTTTTTAGTGACACCAAAAACTCCAAATTTTGTTATTTGTGACACATTTACCCCAATATACATAATAAATGATCATTTTTATGATTATTTCAATCAAATTAATTTGATTCAAATTCATAAATAAATAAATAATAAAAAAAAGAGCGTCGGACGAGTGTCGGTGTCCAATACGACACAGAAGCCCCCGAAGAGTGTTTGTGCTTCCTAGCCATTTATATCATAAACTTATGTTTTTTTTTCATTGGATGGCAAGATTTGTTCCGGTAGATAAGGATAGACACAAGAAGTACAGATAGAAAGTAGATATTAGAACATAACGGTGCGTTTGGCTGTTAGGACGAAAATTGGGATAGGATTGGATAAAGCGGGATAAAAATATCCCGAATATACTAATGTGGATATATTTAATCCTATCAAATATTCAAGACACTTCAAGATAAGAAAGGAAAATAAATAAAAAATTCAATTAGATTAAAAGACTAAAATGGAAAACCCTAGATCTAGGGATTGCACCACCGCCACCACCATGTTGGCCGCGATCCAAGATGATCACCGCGTGCATCACCTTGCAAATCTAAAGTGATCTACAAAAGAGTAGAACCGCGATGCTTACTTAATGGCTTCCTTTTCTACCATATGACTTCACCGCCACACTAATTAGTGATCACCAATAAAGTAAACGACGATTCGCGATTGATTAGTGATTTGTAGGCCGGTTTGGTTTGGAAAGAAACGCGATTGATTAGTAATTGCCGGTAAAGTAAATGACGATTCTTAAAGCTTTTTTCCTTAATTTTTTCTTATTCAATTCGAACTTTATCCCAACTCTTCTCCTGAACGTGCTTTCCGGCATTTTATCCATATACATCCGGGTTTATCCGGTCCGGAGGGCGTCCCCAAAACACCGGATAGGATAACAACCTATCGAGCACAGCCCAAGAGTTTATGGTAGCCCAAGGACAGCAACCTCAAAAAAAACAGGCTAATCCTGAACTTCACTGGGGAAAAATCACAACAAGAAGTAACGTCGTACTCTTGCATCCGAGGAACATTCACTTCCCCCCTTTCACTTTTCTGGCTCCGCAGCGCATCCCAAAGCAAAGACCCCTCATCCGTTTCCGCAGTTGACTCTGCAAGTAGGGTTCTCTCATCTCACTCGCTCAGTCCCCATAAACCCCTCCCACAGAAATCCTGCAACTTTCTCGAATTTCGCCCATAAAAATCCGATCTTGATGAGGAATTAGCCGCCCCCCGATCCACGCTCCCCCGATCCCCTCTCTCTCTCTCGCGCGGCGCCCCCACCCCCGCTCACCATGGTCGGCAAATCCGAGCCCAGCACCAATGGCGCCGCCGCCGCCAAATCCCCAGATCTGCTCACCAGCTACTTCTCCTTCAGGGCCCTCAAGCTCAAGACCAAGCAGCAGGAGCTCCTGATCCGGGTCTCCATCCTCTGCCTCGTCTACGTGCTGGCCTTCGCCACCCGCCTCTTCAGCGTCCTCCGCTACGAGTCCATGATCCACGAGTTCGATCCTTACTTCAACTACCGGACCACCCTGTTCCTGACCGAGAAGGGGTTCTACGAGTTCTGGAACTGGTTCGACAGCGAGAGCTGGTACCCGCTCGGCCGCATTATCGGCGGCACCCTCTACCCGGGCCTCATGGTCACCGCCGCCGCGATGTACTGGGGCCTGAGGTTCCTCAGGTTCGCCGTCCACATCCGGGAAGTCTGCGTCCTGACCGCGCCCTTCTTCGCCTCCAACACGACCGTCCTCGCCTACTTCTTCGGGAAGGAGATTTGGGACACGGGCGCGGGGCTGGTCGCCGCGGCGCTGATCGCGATTTGCCCCGGGTACATATCGAGGTCCGTCGCGGGGTCGTACGATAACGAGGGCGTGGCCATCTTCGCGCTGCTCCTGACGTTTTACCTGTTTGTGAAGGCCGTGAACACGGGTTCGCTGGCCTGGGGGTTGGCCTCGGCTTTGGGCTACTTCTATATGGTTTCGGCTTGGGGTGGGTATGTGTTTATCATCAATCTGATCCCTCTTTATGTGCTGGTCTTGTTGATAACTGGTCGGTACTCGATGAGACTGTATGTGGCGTATAACTGTATGTATATTCTGGGGATGCTGCTCGCTATGCAAATTCGTTTTGTCGGGTTTCAGCACGTGCAGTCGGGAGAGCATATGGCGGCCATGGGCGTATTCTTCTTAATGCAGGTTCCTTCTTCTGTCAGATGATCCCTTTTGGTTTGTTGTTGAGCTTATACTTGTGTTTTGCGGTTCATTTAAGATCCCAATATCGAAGTAGCAATCAATGTGCTTGATTTTGTTAATGTCACTTACCAAAAAATATCAATTGTGTGTCGATTTTAGTTGGGAATAAGGTCCTGGAGTTCCTTGCTTCGTGTATAAAAACTTAAAATGACCGTCTTTGTTTAGAAAGACGATATATCGAATCATAGCACGGGAAAAAAAAAAACGAATCTTTTATGGCTTAAACTCTATGTAGAGCGGCCATTGTGCGTTTTCCTTTCCATTTCCCCCTTTTCTCCGCTTCTCCTCTTCAAAAAGCGAAAGTGTTCACGAACCTTTGCATCATTTAGTCAGCAGGTCTACCGAGCAATGTGCGAGTGAATGCATGATGAACAACACCAATTCAGAGTTGTCGTGGAAGAGAGTCTGTTTCTCATTCATGTGAGTCGGGCCTTACTTTAGGCGAAGTCTTTTATTAAACCGATTTATTTGCGCAGGTGTTCTACTTCTTGGATTGGCTGAAGCACCTTCTAAGTGACGCCAAGTTGTTTCAAGCCTTTCTGAGGATGACTGTGACCTCTGCTGTTGGTGTGGGTGCCGTGGCTCTGGGAGTCGGCACGGCATCTGGATATATCTCTCCATGGACTGGCCGTTTTTACTCTCTGCTTGATCCAACGTATGCGAAGGACCACATACCTATTATAGCCTCCGTCTCCGAGCACCAGCCTACAGCATGGTCTTCTTTCATGTTTGATTTTCAGATTCTTCTCTTCCTCTTCCCAGCAGGTCTCTATTTCTGTTTCAAGAGGTTGTCAGATGCCACCATATTCATAGTTATGTATGGCCTTACAAGCATGTATTTTGCTGGTGTTATGGTTCGTTTGATTCTCGTCGCTACACCTGCTGTGTGCCTCATAAGTGCGATTGCGGTGTCGGCCACCATAAAGAATTTGACCTTATTGTTGAGAGCAAAGACAAAGGCTCCCCAAAGTGTTTCCGGCAAAGGTGGAAGTAGCGGCAAGGCTTCTTCTAAGGTGACAAATCCTTTAGGCTAGTCTTTTGCCTTTTCTAATTGGTCGAGTGCCGAACTATTTCTTCGGGAACTTTCTGAGTAATTGGCTGCAGGGAGTTTTCTTTGATCTAGGAAGTAATCTGTGAGCAGTTAATCCCAAATGCATGCGTAGGTGAGCCACAAAAATCATGATGTGAGTGCTTCGTTCTCTGAATGGGCTATTAGCAACCGAAATGGAGAATCATGCTAGCTTCGTTTCATTTGATTTTGCTGTTTTAGGCATTATTGGGGAGGTGGGTAGGGGAATTGGCAGCCTTAATTTTCTTTTTCTTCTTTTTTTGTTTTTTGTAGTAGTGGAAGAGGTTTCTTGGTGATTTCTTTTGGCGACTTCTGTGATTTATTTTCCTTTTCCGAAGCAGGGCTCACTTGATCAATCCCAGCCTTTCCAGAAAAATGGTGCTACTGCGCTGCTATTTGGTGCTTTCTATTTGCTGAGCAAGTATGTTACCCACTGTACTTGGGTCACCTCTGAGGCATACTCGTCCCCTTCAATCGTGTTGGCCGCAAGGGGCGCTCATGGTAACCGGGTCATCTTTGATGACTATCGTGAGGCATACTTTTGGCTTCGCCAGAATACCCCTCCTGATGCTAAGGTGATGTCGTGGTGGGATTATGGATATCAGATCACTGCAATGGGAAATAGAACTGTTATTGTCGACAATAACACCTGGAACAATACACATATCGCTACTGTCGGACGTGCTATGTCATCTTATGAGGATGAGGCGTATGAGATCATGAAGTCACTCGATGTGGACTATGTTTTAGTCGTGTTTGGTGGTGTTACTGGTTATTCTTCAGATGATATTAACAAGTAAGCCTTGACATCATCTCATCGTATTCAAGCTGTTGATGTAATTAATTGTGGAAAATTGTCCATAAACCTGAAAATTGCTGCCTGATCTGAAGCTTCATATTTAAGACGACTATTTAATAAAGGTTTACACTGAACAACCTGACCCTTAGTAGATTTTGCTACAAGCTGTTAAAACGTCAGCATACCATTGAACTCTATGAGACTATTGGGTCTATGGCTGCAAAAAGACGGATCCCTGAATGTGAGTACTTCTGCTATAAAATGAAATTGATTGAGTTTGGCTACTTTGGTTTGCTTCAACTCGAAGTGATTACTAATAATTAAATGGGTCGTTTTTTGATGAACTGATCAGATTTAGGCAATCGTTTCCTACCACTTTTTCTGTTGAAAATTTCAGATTCACACTTGAAATGAGTAATCTTCTCAGTCTCTTCTGTTTGTTTGTTTTCTTCTTTTATTGTGCTAGATTTCTCTGGATGGTTAGAATTGGTGGTGGAGTTTTTCCTGTAATCAAGGAGCCTGATTACCTTGTTAATGGAGAATATCGTGTTGATAAAGGTGCAGCTCCCAAGATGTTGAATTGTCTCATGTAAGTTTCCTGGAATCTCTGGCCCCTGTGTTCGTACCTGTCTCATGTATTGTCTTTTCGGAACTCTGTCAAAAAAAAAAAAAAAAAAACAAGAATAATTTGCTCAAATAGGCCTAATTAAATTCTCTTTTGCTATTTTAAGTGATCAAGTGCGCCTCAAACGTTTCCACTGTGATGGTACTGGATGATTCTTGTTATTGGTTGTATGAAGAGAAGACAGTTGTGTTTAATTTTGGCAGTCGAGTTTTTTATTCTGTTTGTGATGAGATGGTTGGGAACTCAAGAGTGATCTAGTGAGATCATTGTTACATTAGTTTCTTTATTGACTGATGTTTGATTTGGTTGAGCTGTAATTCCATCACTAATGAGATCTGAAAGTGACACGGACACTTAATCTGTCTAATAGTTAAGTTCTCTTGGTAATTTTTCATTATGATCCACTACCTTTTGTTAGTATCATCATCCCCTTTCTTTGTTGTAGGTATAAATTGTCCTACTACCGATTTGGAGAGCTGACAACAGAATATGGCAAACCTCCTGGGTAAGTTGAAGATCGTCCTTTTCTTCTCATAAGCTGCCGGAGATTTTTCTTTTCTTTTTGTTTTTTTCTAGAAACACATGAAAATGTTAACCTTGAAAGCATACATGCTGTAAACTCGGTAATTAATGATAGGTGGAACATCAAGCGTAGGTTTTTGGTTAAAATTAGGGCTTACGGCACATTTCAAAAATAGAAAAGATGAAAAAGATTGCTGATACTTATGTATATGTAACCTTTTTGTGTTTTTTATTGGTCTTTGAATTCACCACCCTCTAAGAGGCCTTTGTTGCTCTTTATATATGGTTGGGCATATGCTTTGTTATGCTTCATCTCTTGCCTATGAGACTAACCATTAGTTTCTCTTTGTAATGTCAGGTATGATCGTGCAAGGGGGGTTGAAATTGGGAATAAGGATATAAAGCTTGAATACCTGGAAGAGGCATTTACAACATCTAACTGGATAGTTAGAATTTACAAGGTCAAACCACCAAATAACAGGTGGTGAGATCCATACTCCCTCTAAGTCTTACCTTCCATTCCAGACTCTCTTCTTTTCTTTAGAGGACAGAAAAGCAACGGTAGGACTAGACTCTGAGATTTGAATCTTGGAATATAGTGACAGAAATGGAGGTGAAGCGTATAAGAGAAGGTAGCGTTGGTACTATTTAATCCTCTTTCTCCCCCTTGGCAACTCTTGCTTCTGAAAATGCCTTCATGGAGATTTTGTAATGCAGAGGATTTCATTTTCTGAGGCTGTGTTGAATGTGGTGCATAAGATGTTGAGCTTTTGGCAGTGTAATTCTACCGACTTACTGCATTGAATGGTCGTAACATATTCCTACTGATTCTCTGCTATTATATTGGATCATTTGGTGCAGCTGGTCTTCATGAAAAATCAAGTGTCTTTATCGAGCACAGGCTTCGTTAGCAGAGTAACATCTTGTTCATGTGTTCTGTTTAGATTATCTACTCATTGTTGGTTTTAGTTGCTGCGATTGCCTTATGGAAAAGTTGCGCTTCAAAGTAAAAATCTTAGCTGAATAATCTGTGTAAGGAAATGTGAAGATAGCTGTAGGGTGGGCAAAAAGTATGTCACACGGTTGCTCTATGCTGCAAAATTTTTCCCGGTTGTGAGATAATTGATTCTCCGATCACTGGCATGCTCAAGCAATTGCGATTTGGAAATCCTGTGAACTTAGTAATAATTATGGATGATTCCATTGAAATCTTTTTAAAGTCTTCTGTGGGAGATATAGGCAGATCTCTGCCTAGGCGTGTTAATTCAGTTCTCGACTCAACTATTTTGTTGGACATGATATGACCAGAAAGTTGCCTGAAACTTTAATCTATTGTTCAGTCTTTGGAGATGTTATTTGAATGTTTGAACATGGACCCCTCCTCTGAAGTTGAAGTAGGCAATCATAAAACTTTGAGAAAGCATATCGCTGATGCTAGACTGGACCAATTGCTATATATATTCATAACTCAAACATAACACCATCAGAATTTGGGCAAGCACTTTATAGAAGCCAACAATTTTAGGAAGCAAGAAACATATCAATTGTATGAATTCTTCAATTTATTATTTTTTAATCAACATTTTTGCTCATTTCAATTTGCCAAATTTGGAGCTTTAGTTTGTATAATCCTCTTTTTTAGCATCTATAGCCAGGAAATAACCATATATCAAACAGGTCAAGAATAGGTCGATCAATGTACTTTTATGCGCCCTAATCAAGGGCAGTTTTACTCCTCCATCCTGAAATCGTTATTGGCAATGCCAAGCCATCGAGGATTGGCCCCGTGAGGGATGCTGCTGAAAACAGTGGGAGGTCTGGTTTCAAGCTCCACTTTGATGTTTCCCAAATTGATGAGGAATTGGTTGTGTCTTGAATTTGTAAGCTTGACGCGCTCGAAGCTTTTTGTAGTCCAGGATGTTCATTCACAATTATGTCGTCTCCCGCTCCCGCTCGAGTTGAGTTTGTCCAGCTTGACTGTGCATCAGTGGCCAGTGATGTTCGGCTGGCTGACTTAGCTCTCAAAACCAAAGCCTTCCCTCTAGTTGCTAAGAAGCTACTGTTTCCGCCACCATTTTCTCCTTTCAACAGCTTCTCTGGTGTGGCATTCGGAGAACCGGCCTCGGTTTCTTGACAATTCCTAGTAGATTTCGTATTAGATTCCTCACCTTCACTATCTATGACATCGAAGATGGATGTGTAATCAATAGTTGAACAATTCTCCACCAAGGAACCGGTGACCATCTTTCGATACTTTGAAGTTGAACCAGAAGCAGGCAACTCATGACCCTTCAGTCGGTTGTTGTGGATCCAGCTAGTACCTATACCAAAATTATTCATTTCAGCTCCTTCAGCTAATCAATCCTTTAGGATTTGAGAGTTTAACCCCGTAATGTCTTGAAGAGCTGATGGATGGAGAAGCTTTCTGTTGGGATGACTTACATTTAAATAGCTCAGAGGACTTTGACAAATTGTAGTGGCCTGTACTTGATGATGCTTTTTCAGCATTTTTGTCCCTACAAGAAAGCAGAAACTTGAGATCATACACACCAAGGCGTCCATGCGGTCCCTTTGCTCGGCTGTTAGTAGGAACATGCACATCCAATTCGTGTCCAACAAAGTGCACGATAAAGAGGATATGTCGCGCGTAGCAGGTTCTACCTGCACATCTTCAAACTCGTGTATTTTCTGCTCCTTCGTTGTGCTCTTTAAGTTAAGAAAAATGACAGGATAAAAAAGATGGATCACAATTATTGCACTATTATTATAGATTGAATCTAAGGGTGCTGGGCATCTGAAAATGATCTCCAGCAGACATACCTGCTCAACAAACATGCTGAACTAAACTTATCCAGAGAAAATAAATTAAGGATAACAGGTATGTAATTTACCCTGAAGAAGCAGCACTATTAGGCAAAGAGGCAGGAGGGGGATGCCTTCCGGGTAAAGGTATCCGTACGGTCTTCAAGGCGAAGATTTGAAAATCCGTGGCCAACCCGTTTATTCTCTTAATGTCAGCCACCTAAAAGGTACAAATATCGACATTAGGAGAAAGCGAAAAGCGATGATTCTAGACATTCATAAACTGCCATGCCCTGTTTCTGGCATGAAAAACTCGAGGGAAACTAAAAGCCCTGTCGATCACATCTCTTACCAAACATTGGTTAAAGAGAAGGATGGTGCTCATGTCTCTTCCAGACCATGAGTAAGAAGGAAGATTCGAATCCTTTTGGGGTAAAGACCTTTTAACATATTCTGCATGATTTTCAGGACCAATAGCACTGGATGGGCAATTCACATGACTCTGGAAATGTTAACAAAAAAAAGCCTGAATCAACTGGCCAAGTTTTTCGCTTTCTTTTTTGCATCCGATACACGAGTACCACACAACGCAGGATACAAACAGGAAAAGTTGGCCATGTTTGATCCGTGTGCTTATATGAAGCCGAGCCACTATAAGCAATTACCCATCATACGTTTCCAGGAATCATACTGCAGCAACCTAGACACCAGACGGAACTTGTTGCTTCCACATACTTACAGTCCTTGTGAATTCCCCTCGAATCAGTGATATTATCTTTATGTCCACAAGTGAAGAAACAGTTTGAGGGGAACAGATCGACAACCACTTGGAAGAAGACAATTTACCTCGACACCGTACTTGATGGCGATTCCGGCCAGTGTATCCATCTTGGACACTTCGTGCTCAATGGAACCATAGCCATTCGCAGTTCCCCAAACATTCCCACAACTTCTGCTTGAAGGAGACATCCCCAGATATGAGATGTCACCGGAAAGACTATCAGCAAATTGTCACGGAGAGAGAGAGAGAGAGAGGAGAAGGATAAAGAACAGCTAGAAAATGGAATGATCAGAGGATGGCATTCATGAAATTCCTAGGTTGCAACTGTACTCGAATCTCAAAGTACTAGTCTATATTAAATGAATGAGTCGTAACCCAAAGGTGGCTTATATTAAATAAAAAACAAGGAAACGCAGTTGAACAAACATGGGTTGCTTCACGTTTAGTTCGAGTCTTCTCATGTAGATCTTGAGGGAGTGACATGATTAGCTGGTACGCGTACATTGTTTCTAAATTTTTTGCCAGAATTTTGACCACCACCTTACTGATCTTATAATATCAAATCACATGGCATGACTTACGGATGATTGCTGGGTCACATATTTTTTCCCAAATAATAATAATAATAATAAATTTGTTTTCTTGAAATTCAACATGCTTGAAATGCGGACTTCCGCTGTAAAGGACGAAGTATAGGTCAGCTGGGGTGGGGACAAAAAATAAATGAATTTAGTTTGGCCATTTTCATGTAATCTAGGTCAAACCAGGTTGCTGTTGAGTGAACTATAAGCTCTGGAAAAGATTCACATCATAAGCATCGTCAACCTTATACGAATTCAAGAGCTTCATATGCACTAAAGCCAGAGAATAGTGAAAAATCAGCTATCCTGAAAAAGGGCAATGGTCGTTCGATTGCACCACTCACTCGAATTTCAGCTCGTGTCGTGCCGCATCCAAGAGATTGGCGAGGAGCTTTATGAGTTGAGACTTTCCTGCCTTAAGCGGACTTCCACGTCAAAAATTTGAGATACTATTAGAGTGCGTCCAGGTACATTAAGTGATGCATAATCACTAATAAATTTTTGCATTACGGACCATGCGAATCCGCTTATTTCGTCATTTTAAGTCTTAAAACTTATGTGCGCAGACAATGGTAGAGAAGCACTTTGTGGATAAAAAAAGATCGTATGAGAGTGATTTGACTTGTGCACAAACCGACAAACATGCGACCACCAGGTTCAGAAATCAGCAGCCTCTCTGGAACGCGCTTGACTCTCACCGACACACAAGCGGACAATATTAATATTACCTAAGTGTCCATTGCTATTTACTTGAGAAACTGAAGGACGATTTTGTGCTTTTGGCTTAAAAAAACTGGTTTTCGTCTATCTTGTGATGCTGTAATTTGGTAGAACTGTGGTCACTCTGAGAAAATCCAATACATTTGACCTGACGAGTGAACCGACGTCCTGTTCTTCTAAAAAAAAACGTTGTGGATCGAGAAGTACTTGCCAAGCAAAAATGAGCAGCTATAGAGTTGTCGAATGTGGACATTAATGCAAACGGAGTTCCTGTTCAGACGGAAGAACCACGAAACATAAGATAGCATAATGACAGTGTCACTCAAGATGAATATCATGAAAACCGGAGCAACATCTGCACATTAGTATGATTGAGAATGATGTATGACTACTGAATATAGCCTAGGTTAGAATTGCTCTTACAGCATTTCATTTAACGTCTTAGAGATACAATCAAAAGCTCATGCACACCCGCGCAGGAGGGAGAGATAGTTCTACGTTCCATTGGGTGATCTTGGACTGCCTCCTATGTCAAGTTCAGCCGACTTATGCCCATTTCACTTGATAAATGTTTCTCCTAAGTGCACCCAATTACTCATATCAGCAAGCGTCTTTCAGCAAATGAATCAAGTAAACTTCAATCCAATGAAATAATGCCGGCAAACTGCTTGTGTTTGCAACAGCACTCGGATCCTCCTAGTAAGCTTCTCCTTCAAAAACCTGCTGGTGATTCTTTCCGCTTCTTTCTGGCATTATTTTGGTATCCTCTGAGAGGCGGCTTGTAGATGATATTGACAAAATCCTATGCCATCTGCAGATATACAAACCAGATTTTGCACAGTGAAACATACTTGCAGAGAAATACTCATTATGGAGTATCTAGCTCTAATTCCTAAACATGGTGCCAAGCAGTGATTATGACGTTGAAAACCCATGTGCTTATAATGGCTACAAAGATCAGACCAATCAACACGGTGAGAAGTAAGACGGTCAAAAATCAACCTTCTAGGACCAGGAGCAATAGGCATACCAAGACTAATATATTAAACCAGCGTACCAAGTGATGTGCCAGACTACTAATGGGACTTCAAACAAGTCATATTAACATCTAGTAACAGTTTATATCACTTAGTATACATACTGCTCTCCAGATCGGTCTTAGTATAATTAGAATTTCTCCTTGGAACCATCCTTGCCTAATTAGAATAATTACCATTCCTTCCCAATGCCATTACGTTGCTTCTCTGCTAAAGACTGCAATGCTCCATGAACATTGTTTATATCAACAGGGCTTTAAGCCCAGTCAAATAACAAGGAGCAGTTACCACCGTCAGCCTCATCATTAGTCATCTAGCCATCAGCTAAAGCTAGCGGCCCACTTTTCTCCTGACTGATCCAACTGGACCCAGGCAATTTCCTTACATCAGAAGTCCCCATTAGCTCTCTCATCATCCCAACCCCATCCCAGTTCCTCAAACCAGCGAACATATTTGATAGCAGCACATAAGTTGAAGGGTCTTTTCGGTCCAATTGCAATGCATGATCAGAAGCGCGCTTCGCAGTTTCCATATCCCCATCAGCGAGGGCAGCTCCAAGCAGCGTCTGCCAGATAAGCACCCCTGGTTGAAATGGCATGCTCAAAATCAATCCCTCAGCTTGTTTAATTTGTCCATTACGTCCAAGTAGATTAACCATACATGCATAGTGATCTTCTCCAGGGGAAATGCCATGATGCTGACTCATCGAGGAAAAATATTTCCACCCTTCATCGACAAACCCTCCCTGGGAGCAAGCATAGAGCACACAAACAAAGGTGATGTCATTCGGCTGGGCTCCTTCTTCAATCATCTCATCAAAGAACTTGAGAGCCTCTCTAGCTTGACCATTTTGTGCGCATCCAATGATCATTGTTGTCCATGACACAACTGAATGCTCTTTCATGGATTGGAAAACACCTCGTGCAGCATCCACGCATCCACATTTCATGTACATATCAATCAGTGCATTTGCTGCACAGATGTCAACATCGTTCCCCAGTTTAATCCTTACACCATGAATTTTCACCCCTTCTTCCAAAGAAGCAATGTTGGCACACGCATTTAGCGCGGTAGAAAGAGTAAATTCGTTTGGCATAATCCCGGCTTTTCGCATTTCTGCAAAGACCTCAAGCGCTTTGACCGGCTCTCCACACAATAGACAACCAGCAGCCATTTGGGTCCACGACAAAACATCCCTCGAGCACATTTCTTCAAAAGCTCTAAATCCTTCATCTAATCTAAGATTTTTCAAGTACATACCTACCAAAGAATTCCCCACACAAATTTCACTTCCGTGGCCATACTTAACAAGCTGCGCATGAACCTGCAATCCCATATCAATATCTGAAAGAGCGGCCAATGCAGTGAGAACACTCGAAAAGGTATAGTGATCAGGCTTGACCTCTGCTTCACGGATCATACGACCCCAAAACCAAGGAACTTCAGCATAAGATAACTCCAAGTATCCTGCCATGACAGCATTCCAAGACACGATATCCCTAAGCGGGCACTTGTCGAAAACTTCCACAGCCTCCAGCAATCGACCGTTCCTTATCAAGGCCGTCGAAAACGCATTGATCAAATACACATTGCACTCGAATCCCAACCTCACGACATGCGCATAAACTTGGCGAGCCAGACCCGATTCCCTGAGCAAAGAACAAGCGTGGAGCGTGCTCACGAGCGTGAACTCGTTAGGCCTCGCGGTCCCCTCGCGGTTCATGCGGCCGAACAGCGAAACGGCGCCCTCGGGACGGCCCTGCTGCACGAAGCCCGCGATGAGGGCCGACCAGGACACCACGTTCCGCTCGGGCATTTCTTCGAACAGCTGGAGACCGCTCTCGAGGCCGCCGCACTTGAGGTACGCGTTGAGCACGTGGTTCTTGAGGAAGAGGGAAAAGGGTACCGACCCTTTGAGGAGCCGCGCGTGAATCGCTCCCCCATTGCGCAGATCGGAGGCTCGAGCGCACTTTTGGAGCTCGCAAGAGAGCAGCTCTTCTGCTTGCTCCGCCGCCGGCCTTTGAAAATGGGTTGGTGGGAAAGCCGCAGCAACGGTCGGGCAGCTGGAGAGGGATCTCCGAGCGCGATGGAAGGTTGGGCCGAGCATGAGTGCGGAAGCGTTTCATGTCGGCTTCACAGTTCAATCATGTCGGGCTATAGGAAGAAGCCCCCTGTTCTGTTCTGCTTCTAAACTCGCCTTGGCCGATTGAACGTGACGCAGTAGTCTCTATAGTATTGTTAAGTTTCAATTGCCCAACAGAGGAGCGGGGATAGCTCAGTTGGGAGAGCGTCAGACTGAAGATCTGAAGGTCGCGTGTTCGATCCACGCTCACCGCATTTTCTTCCTCTTCCTCCTTTTCCTTTTTTCTTGGTGAGATAATGACACAAATAGTCCTAGCACTTTTGCCAATTGTGCAATATGATTCATGAACTTTATATTTGTTCAATATGATCCCTGAACTTTAGCTCAATATGCAATGTGGTCCATAAATTTTCAATTTGTTCAATATGATCCCTGGACTTTTGATATAAATTCAACTTAATATGTTTAATGTTGTAGATAAATAATGACACAAATAGCGTTTGAACTTTTGCCAAATATGTAACATAGTTTCTGAACTTTTAATTTGTTTAATGTGGTCTATGAATTATAGTCCAATATAAAATATGATCCTTAAACTTTCAATTTATTCAATATGGTACCTGATTTTTGGTACATGTTCTAATGCGGTCCAAGAATTGTAGCTCAATATAAAATATGATCCCTAAATTTTCAATTTATTCAATATGATTCGTGACTTTTGGTACGCGTTCAACTTAATTCATCAATTGTACGAAAACGTTTAATGTAAAGTTCATGAACCATATCAACTGCAGTGAACATTGTGCTAAAGTAAGGGACCGTATTGGACATTGAATATGTGTGATTATCCCTTTCCTAGTCAGAGTCATCATCATGCAAACCTAAAATCTGAGAAGCGTCCCCCAACGATCTTTATCCCTCTTTTAATTTTTTTTTTTGTTCCCCGTTCGATCACATCCGCCGGCAGTGTGGGCTTCGCTTCGGGTTTGCATGGCTTCCAGAGCATCGAGCGCGTTGCTGTCGAGAGCCGGCAGGATGAGGTCCAAGCTCCAATCCTCGCTCGAGGCGAGCGTCTTGGAGATCGAGGACGTCTCGCACCAGCACGCCGGCCACGCCGCCGTCCGCGGGAGCGGCGCCGCGGAGACCCATTTCAACGTCAAGATCGTGTCCTCCAAGTTCGAGGGGAAGAGCCTCGTGAGCCGCCACCGCCTGGTCTACGACGCGCTCGCCGACGAGCTCCGGTCCGGGCTCCACGCGCTCTCCATCGTGGCCAAGACCCCACAGGAAGTTGCCCCCAAGTAAATTATTAGGTACTGATCTCGTTGTCTGTGATGGGTGTTGTTCGACTTGGAATCTTGAATTGTTGGAGCCTGGGGCCTACGTTACCTGTTTGACGAATTGCCTGAACGGGATGTAACTTGCAAATCCTCTTTAAATGGTATTGCATTGTGATTTATAGGTTGAATTGTATGTTTTTGGCTGCCGTGACTTGTCTTTCGCGTCAAATGCGTAGGTAAGCACCGTACTTGGTGAATGTGTAGTCCATGTACCCGTGCTTTTTAGCTAGATTGAGTTCATAAATGGTCCGAATTCTCACGCGGGGGAATACGGTTAATACAGCAGTTCATTACAACTGGTTACCAACAGATTCTGTGAGAGAGTAGCCGAGCCAAGTTCTCCCTCTAACTAATTCACCATCAAATGTCCGTCAAAGTCTGGCTTGCAAGTCTAAATATTCTAACCTTGCGACTTGGACATTACGATTGTGCCTGACTGAAAGGTTTTGCTAATTTCATCTAGCTGATGGACATTTGTCTTTGGTCCTAGCTTCCTGCTTAGATAGTTGTCATTTAACTGGTAAATATAATATTGGCAAGGGGGCATAAGGACTGTATAAATTTGAATTTCCTCTTCCTCAGAAATAGATTGACTTCATTTCTAACCATCTTTGGTCTATGACACATTGTTGAACTTGCTGGACCTTTAAACTTTATGCTGAAGATGTAATTGTTCCAAGCTCTGAAGAATTCTCGGATGTACTAGTACTAGCGAGTGCATCAAACATGCAATTATCGATTCTATTCTTGCCAAGTACATATCGTTGTTTAACTGAATAACTAAATAAAAATAGATTGACTCACTTATTAAGCATCTATAGAAATATTTTGGCAAGCAGTTGAAGTGAATAATGTGGTGTCCACACCAGCAGAATACTATGGCACCCATGAGAATTTTTCTGCTGTGTGTTGTAGGGTGACCTTTGTTGCCAGAAATTTTAGCTGTTGGGAAATTGATTAATTATGTTATATAGTATATATCTGAACAGTCTCTGTAATGTGTAAACCTGGCCTTACGCATGAAATCACACAGAATATGGATTAAACCTCACCACCAAAACCAAAAAAACGCAATTACAAGAAATTAGGCAATATGACAATTAAAGGGTGTTGTAAAATTCCAACTCTTGACCTGTGCTCTTTTATCACATTAGACAACAATTTTGGCAAAGTTGTAAGTTATCAGGATATGGGTCCATATATACGTATAAAATAACTCGTAACTCATGCTCTGTTTTTGAGCTCGGCACATTTGGTAACAATTTGATGTGGGCTTTAATCAGTAATGTATTCACATGAATCCTTTCTGGAGGTGTTCTGGTCTCAGTAAGCACTCTCAAGCTCAACCTAGGGGTGCCTTCATGCATTTATACCTTGAGTCATATATGGCATTTGGTTGAAATGTATATGCTGTCTCGCCTTCAGAATATCAAAAGGGAGGTTTTGAACTTTGAACATGGACCTGGCCACCATAATAGCCCTTTAGTTATCCATTGGTCTCGGAGCTTATTGGGCTACAGGACAGTATAAGACCGAGCCCTTAGATTATTATGGTGTTACGTGAGTACCTGCAATGTATGTGTCTCCCCTAAGTAATAGTAAGTGCATGCTTCCATCTTAAAGCACCTTATTTTGGTACACAAATGGTTATTATGCTGCTTGTGCTACTGTGGGCTGTTGATATGGAATATCTGTCATGGAAGCATTAGTCCTTCATTTAGAGGATGTCTGCTGCAGTTAAATCCTCATCCCACTAATTTACCTGGTCAGAGTATGGAATTCTGGTTTGAAGATTGACAATTACGCCTTTCTGCATGCATGACATAACATTTGCTTTAGCCTTTATGGATCTTCTATGATCAATCTGGCTGGAATGGCCCAAAAAATTGAAGAAAGAAAAGAAATACATTCGCATCTTAATATGCTCCTTAATAACTAGATGGCATTTCTTGAGGATTTTGAGGGTTCACCAATATGTATAGGCAGTAGATGTAAGTTGTCAGATTGAAGTTCCAATTGTAGCAGTGGCTAGCTAAACTGCCAATGTTGCCCCTTGTACGATTTTTGGGGTAATTCAATGCTTTTTGATAGCTTTTACCTGCACAAGGCTTATTAATATTTGTTTCTTAAACGATCTTGATGCACCTGTGGAGGTCAAAGTGGTGGGGTTTTCATGGTGGTTCTCACTTCTCCTCTTTCAATAGATATGCAATATTATCTAGAGGACATGAGAGATTCTTGGAGCTTTCTGCATTGATTGTAGATCATGATTGTTCGGTTGCTATAGGTGCAGTCTCTGTGGGAGCTCGTTATGATCTGCATGGCACTGTGTTGGTAGCGGTAGCATTGTGTTGTTCCTCTGTGTATCCAGTCTCTAACTTCTCCATCATATGCCAATTGGAACTTTTGCAATTGTCTGATGACCTTTTCCGGTTGAATTAGGTTTTTTGAAACTGATTATTTAGGCTACCATTGACGTTCTATAGGAACTAGGAAGTACTCGAGGAAATCTTTTATCTTATGGCCATAGAACTTTTCCTAGCCATCTATCTCAAATGCTTATAACATTCTATTGTACCTTGTTGTCTTCCATTCGAAATGTAAATAGTCCTTTCACTTTGTGAAAAGCTCATGGAAGTGGAGGAATTATGGATAGATAATCTGAGAGAGAGAGAGAGAGAGAGAGAGAGAGATACATCGTCTTCCAACATTGACCCATCTTCTTTAAATGGATGCCCAACAAAAGAAATCAAGATGAATTGATTCGTACTCCTTGTTATTTCATCTGCATATTCAATTCTGAACCATGAGGAAACAGAGTATAATATGTGTTCTTTAAATGGATGCCCAACAAAAGAAATCAAGATGAATTGCGTCGTGTTCCTTCTTGTTTTTTCATCTGCATATTCAATTATGGACCACGAGGAAACAGAGTATAATATTTGTTGGGTTTGGACTGTTTGTCCACCTTGCCTTTAGATATGGAGGCAGCTTTATCATTGCATCATTATTTTCTCCTATTTTCTGGTATATTATATTGCCCAATTATTTCAAGATTAATGACGTGACATCTCAACTGTTCAGCGTGTTCTGCCTTCGATCCCTATCACTGTACGTGGCATTTAGAACAAAGTGTTATTCTGTCATGGTTGTCAAGATTAAGAGAATGATGGTTTATCAATGATCCGTTGGTCTCAGTCTCAGATATAAGAGCTGTCAGTTAACTGATGATGTTTGTGCTCTCTTTCATATGTGAATTTATATGGCGTAATTCTCAAAAAAAAATTTTGTTTTCTTTCTCTTTTTATCCCTATACCGTAATTCAAGAAAAACATGACAGTTTTATTGTTTCAATTATTTCGGTTGTGATGGCCAAATTGTCTAGTTGCTTTTTCTCTTTAACAGTTGACAAAAACATTGAAAAATTATGATTGCCAAATGACACTAAATTCTTGAAAATGGGTAGTTTTTTCAAGTTGATTTATCATTGGAGAACTTTTGCAATATTTAGATAGGCCAGATGCGTAGTTTAGCAAAGATACAAGTGAAACTTGACCTCAGGTTTCCGAGAACATTTCTTTAAAAGCAATTTGGCAACTATAAAAGACCCAGGAGAGTTCGGTGAAGTAACAGTTGTCTCAAAGATGGAACGGGACAAGTGCTCACAGTTGCTTCTCATTTGTTTAGTGAAGACGCAAATGAAACTTGAGTTGCATGGTTTTTTTTCTAATACCATGTACATAAAATACCTTTTAATTGGTAGATTAGAGTTAGTGTTACAACATCATCTTCCTTGTTGGGACTCCTTTAGAACATAGCAGAATACCAGTCCTTGTCAACAGCCCAGCAGTGCCCATGTGACTGTGGGTTGGTGTTTGAATGAAAGTAGGGTTCCTTTAATTATGTTGAATTTCTTATTGGAGATGGATGAACCTGAGCCCCATTTGATTTAAAATAAAGTGATAACTTTGATATTTCAATTCTCATTTGTTCTTTATTATTTCACCCTTTTTCTGGTTTATCTTTTGGCGCCACCTGTCGTCACTTCAAGCTTCGCCTCGCGAATCTAAGAAGAGCACAAACAAATAATGTGAATCAACTTAATAGAAATTATATCGACAGAGAATTAAACATTGTAGGACCTCATTTGTTCTTTTATTGTTCTTTGTCCATTTTCCTCTTGCAAAAAAGCTCTGTTTTATGGTAGCAGATGCTCTTAAATGGGAGTGCAATAACTAATAGTTGCCTTTTGCTTTCCTTTCTTGTTCTTTTGTTTTTTTTCTCTCCCCCCTCCTGCTTCCACCAATTTCGAATGGCCTTTGTACTTTACTCTTCTTGGATGCCTTTTCCTTTTGGTACGGTCTTAATGATAGAGCATTAGATTCTATTGCGAGGTATGAGAAGATTTTGCAGCCTAGATATAACAATAACAAACCCTCTTGATCATTGTTTTGGGCATTACCTAGTAAAGTTAGTCAAAGACTATTACTTTGGTGTTCAAGATGAAGATAAAGAAGACAGAAGATGGAAGAACATAAAAGAGGGATATTCCCTCTGGAGGCCCTTACAAGCTACTAGAGCCCGCACTAAGAAAAAAGGATAGCATAACAAGTAATCAACATCTTCGAGCCGATGATAATTTTTAAACGATGATCATTTGGCAGATTGTAGTTTGAAGCTCCATTGGTCAGTATAACACCTGAAGATACCTTACCATCGGGAAAACTATAATATCGGTTGGTGTACTCACATGCATCAACCAATTCCAAAAGGAACAAAACTGTTGTTATCAGTGCCTGCAATTTTTCTCTTTTGATCTGGACGGCTCACTTAACGAACAGTTCATCAGTATGAGTGGTCAATTCTGCGTATTATCATGGATGTACGAACAACCTAATAAAACATCCGAGTGGTGTCAGGGATTAACGACGAGATATATGGAAAGAGACGGATGCTTATGCTGAATGACACTCTTTTCTATAGCATTATCAAAGTTTGGAGGGTCCCTTATCGACTAATCTATTTCTTCTGCACATGGTTTCAAGTATCTACTGTTTGTACAAAAACTCTTTCTTAGTTTGTCATCTTCTCTCATTGTTTTTTATCTGAGTTCATGGGACATGCTTCT